ACCAGAGAGTGTGGTATGGACTGTGCCTACACTATCTAACCAGACAGTGTGGTATGGACTGTGCCTACACTATCTAACCAGACAGTATGGTCATGGACTGTGCCTACACTATCTAACCAGACAGTGTGGTATGGACTGTGCCTACACTATCTAACCAGACAGTGTGGTTATGGACTGTGCCTACACTATCTAACCAGACAGTGTGGTTATGGACTGTGCCTACACTATCTAACCAGACAGTGTGGTTATGGACTGTGCCTACACTATCTAACCAGACAGTGTGGTTATGGACTGTGCCTACACTATCTAACCAGACAGTGTGGTTATAGACTGTGCCTACACTATCTAACCAGACAGTGTGGTTATGGACTGTGCCTACACTATCTAACCAGACAGTGTGGTTATGGACTGTGCCTACACTATCTAACCAGAGAGTGTGATATGGACTGTACCTATCGGCAATACTGTTGGTGAGCTCATATGCCTATGTTTTGTACCAAATCATCACCACTTTGAAGAAATCCATCTGAACCTAGCAGATGCTTACTTTCTCTTTGTCCTGTTTGTCTAAAGGAGTGATCATTTTTTGTTTTGAGAAATAAACCATGTTATCTTATACATGTAGACGTTTGTCAGTGTTTAATGAAGGACATGTGTGATCATGTATAGATCTTACTCTCCAGGCTTAGTGATTCATGGTTTCAAAGAAATTAGCAGAGTTCTAAGTGTACAAACACCAACAGATAATACAGCCTTGGCCAGGCACACCAGTGGATGACGGCACAAGTATCGGTCAAGTCATGATGTCATACTGAACAAGGACACAAAACCACCAGATCTCCACTACCCCATTAGTGCCCTGCAGCCACACCGACCAATGGTTGATAGTGTGACAACCATTAAATATCACCACTACAGTGACACACAACAATTTAATCTCCTCTATTGCTAACCAAGGTCCCCACAAGGGGAGCACCTAAACATGTACATCCTTAAGAAGGTGAACTGCAGCAAGCACCTGTCTACAACCCTGATGACTTGGATTTGCCTGGTAACATGACAAAGGACTCAACTCGTAACGCTGTCTTGACTATTACATTTATTCACATTTGAACTGTTGAATCTGAGCAGTACTGAGAACAAACCCATCCATGATTGTTTTGATGCAGAATTAAGTTGTTTAAACTTGGCCCTTCATCACTCTGTTTGTAGTTTATCATGTCGTTGCAGTCTAAGCTGTGAGTCCAGTTTAATTAGCTGTTGTTGGAAACCTGTATTCGGGCACACCTCTCGATGGCTCCTGACCAATCGGAGAGCATCTTTGACTGTCATGTGACGTTTGAGCATCAGGAATGCCACAGCTAAAGTGGCAGATCGACTTACTCCCTGTATACAGTGGACCAGAACTTTTCCTGCAAGTCAATTGTATGTCTTTGAACAAAATTCTGATGATAGCCTGAACTTCATTCTTACATATATTTCATGAGTAACAGTAATTTGACCCAATTTAGGTAAGGTGACCTCCATTATAAAGGGGAATTCAGTACAAGGGATGTACAGGACACATGCAGACACAATGTCTCCCTTACAACGGATGTGTCCATAACCAGATTTGCAGGCAAACATTATCCGCAAGGTGTACAGGGCCATCCATTGTGAAAAAAATTATGAAATCAAAAGAGAGCAAAATCTTTTGTTGATATTAGGGACCGTTCATAATTTATGGCTAGGGGGGTGATGGTGATATTAAGGGAGGGCCATCAATTATGTTCTGGGGAGAGGTGGGTGGTGGTGGTGGTGGGGTTAATAAATTTTCTACACATTTACTAGGGGGGTCATTGATTTTGTACATGACATGCCCACCTGCACTTACTTTGTACATACATTTTAGGGGGGTCATTCACATTGTACATGCTTCTCCATAAAACTCATCATCACTTTCCCCCTAGCCATAAATTATGAACAGTCCCTTAATATATTGTTAAAATGTCTGCTAGGTATTTAAAAGAAGCACAACATTTCCCAACTACATGTCATCAACTCATCACATCACTTGTCTGTTGTAATAGACTCATGGCTCAAGAGGATAAAATTATGGCGGATATATGAGATGGGAAAAGAGTTAAAGGAATTTTACCAAAGAGAATGATATATGATCACACAGGCAAATGGACAGATACTGAACAAAAGCTTGGAGGTCGGTGTGGTCAGTAATTTAGGACAAAGATGAGAAACAAAAACTTGAGATGCAACCTGTTAACAATGGATCCAGGGCTATAGGCAAACCAGTGGGCGATAGCATGAGTAAAGGAAGCAATCAGTGACAAACTTCCATTCCTCTGCAGTCACCTGTCACAAGTCCTTCTGAACTGCTAGACACCAAACTTACTGTGTTATTGTAGAATGGTACGGTGTACTTCATGCACTTCTCCATGGGGTGCACAACTTACCCCCATTGTCCAATGCTTTCTCAATGAAGTCAGCTGACTCTTGGAAGAAAGGGTAAAGGTTAAAACTCATGTGATCAATGGCTTCAATGCCCTTGAAAGTGACCTTGAGCTTCCTATACATGTCCTCATTGGTGTTTACATGATGGATATCGACACCGTGGGCAGCATTGAGGATGTGAGTGACCCAAGCCGTCGGAGCTGCATCAGATCACGAGCAATCGACCTTCAACAAAGGGTAAATGTTCATTCACATGGAGGTCAATAAGACTTGGTTTAATGTTGGTTTAAGTGACACATAAAGTGTCCTGCTAGCTATACTGGTATGGTAATATCCTATCTGAACATTTGATCTATTCTTGACTGTGACTCTTGTTGAGATGGCGACTTTACCCATCAAAACATCATATGATAAAAAAAATTGCAACAATGGATCCTGTAAGTAAAATTGTGATTAAAAATATTTCTTTTAATATTTCATTTTTGCAAATAGTGAACCTCACTGTTTAAGATGGATATGTAAATCTGACCTTTGACAAAACAATTTTACAGGACACTGTGGAAGAAATCCATTTGGACATCCTCTGATTCTAGTAATTTCTGGAATGTATACGTGGTATACAACCACTAAGGACACATTGGAGACTCGAAATTAACTGACCCGGTACAGCAGTTAATGCCACAAGAGTGGCCTGAATATCTTTGTTAAATATATTAAGAATTTCAAACAAATGATTGAAATTGAAAAAGAAGTAGATGATTTTGGTGACTATAACACATTTTGGAGAGGTTTTTTTGTAAGTAGGCATTTCACCTGTCGGCCAATCCATTTTCAAGAAAATAAAATACTGCATAAATTATTAAACAGCAATAAGAGTTACACATATGGTTTCATATTGTATCCATGTGGGGAATCAAACACGGGTCTTCAATGTGATGAGCGAACACTTTAACCATTAGTCTACCCCACCGCCTCCAACATACCACAAAAGTGAAATAGAAGTATCACAGAACACAAGTATTTTTTATACAATGTATATATTTACATGATATATTGCTTTCCTCTGGACAAGAGCCAAGTGACATGGCAGCAAAATGTAGGTTTCCCAACCAAATCAATGAACATTTCAGTCTTCATACATTTTTCACAAAACTATGGCATTCTTGAAATGACGAACATTGAGAGGCTACTTCAATGTTTCAGTTGTATTTGAATAAAAGAATGTCTTGAAGAGTGTACTTACTCATCCCCAACAAGGAGATTGTCATACACCTCGTCATACGCTGTGTTGGGCAGCATGGTCATTCCACCAGCAGGTTGAGTGATGATGTCATCAAGCTCCTCCAGACCGCACTCAGCAGCATCTTCACTCTCTGGTGTGGCAGAGGCCATGTCTGCCTGCAGGCAGAGAACAGGTAACACAGATAAGGAAACTGGTGTGTGTGTGTGTGTGAGTGCGTGCGTGAGAGTGGGTGGAAGGGTGAGTGAATTGGGGTGAGACAGTGGGTGAGTGAGTAACACGCATTGTTTTTCTATATTCTGGCAGTATCATGCCTGGTCAAGTTATTTATAAGAGGTTATACTTATTTATTGGATCATGGTATCAAGTTATTATATCAACCATTATGTGGTAAACTTAGTTTTCATGATGGTCTCTGTATATAGAGCCTCCACCATGTACAACATCCCTTCATATAGCCTGACAGTCTATGACTGAGTAGGCGTCTGCTACAACAGTTACGTGGTGATGGCCTCTGTATATAGAGCCTCCACCATGTACAACATCCCTTCATGCAGCCTGACAGTCTATAACTGAGTAGACGTCTGCTACAACAGTTACTTGGTGATGGTCTCTGTATATAGAGCCTCCACCATGTACAACATCCCTTCATATAGCCTGACAGTCTATGACTGAGTAGACGTCTGCTACAACAGTTATGTGGTGATGGCCTCTGTATATAGAGCCTCCACCATGTACAACATCCCTTCATATAGCCTGACAGTCTATGGCTAAGTAGACGTCTGCTACAACAGTTACGTGGTGATGGTCTCTGTAGATAGAGCCTCCACCATGTACAACATCCCTTCATTTAGCCTGACAGTCTATGACTGAGTAGACGTCTGCTACAACAGTTATGTGGTGATGGCCTCTGTATATAGAGCCTCCACCATGTACAACATCCCTTCATGCAGCCTGACAGTCTATGGCTGAGTAGACGTCTTCTGCAACAGTTACATGGTGATGGCCTCTGTATATAGAGCCTCCACTAAGTGCAACATCCCTTCATGCAGCCTGACAGTCTATGGCTGAGTAGACGTCTGCTACAACAGGTACAAGACTCCTCTCTGTACAATGTCATTCTAATTCAAAATGAGCGTGCTGACGTCATCACGAACACAAACAAACACAGTATTCTGTGAATATTCCATGTGGATACTGTGATGAGAATAGACACTGATCTGTTGACCATGATAGAGAGATTGTTAGATAAATACACCATAATAATCTTTAATGTTAAAAGTAGAACCATCTGCAAAACACAACACAGATATTTCCAAAATCACTTTATAACAGGAGAAGCAACTTCAAACAAAGATAATTTACCAAACTGCTGATTGTAGATTTCATACATTTTTTCCAGACCAAAAGCAAACAAATATATATTCATAACACAATAACATAATATACAGAGATAACAAACAAGAAAAGTAACATTTGGTTGGGAACATAAAACCCACTGCAGTAGTTATTCAAACAGAATCATATACTTCTTTGATGGGCATTTTAGAAGTTGAGTTGATGAAGAATAATTGTCATTATTCTTCAGAATAATATACATGACAAAATCACACATCACAGCCATGACCTTGCATCTGATGTAAATCTTCACCAGACAAGCTGCTGACAGATTGTATGAAGCACTCAGTTGTCATGCTAATCTAGTTAGCGGTCCTGTGATGACAACACTTGGCATATCCAACACACTGATACAAAAACAAATGTACGATAAATATGGGTTATATATAAGTGTTCAACAAAATAATACAAATAATAATTCATTTATATGGCACCTAGTATCTATCTGACTAGTTGCTAACTGGACACTGTAATCACTAACTGATTATTATTAACCATTAAGCTGCCAGTGAGGTTACTGTTCACATGACTTATCTCACCGGGTACCCATTTTCTGCTGGGTGAACAGAGGCAAGTTTGGACAAACTCACGTGCCTAAGGTGAGACCACATGTATCACATGTGCTTCGTTGAGGGGCAGGACTGGAGTCACGAGTCAAGCTGCCCAAAACGGTCATCCATTCAAGGACTCTCCACACTCAACGATACTTAACTTCAACTGATTTGTGACCTGAGCTCTATGCACAGGACTACACACCATCAACATGAATGCCCCAGACAGATGCAGCCTCTTATTCCCACACATTGTACTATACCTCCTGTTCTACTCCCTTCACTTCCAGTCCTGAACCATTACTTCCAGATCATCCCTGCAATCATCACAGACTGATATGATGCAAGCATAAGTCTGTAGAACTGCATAAGTAAAGGTGCAACAGTAAAGACTAATGAATGGTTAAATTACTGGCTAAATCAACTGCAAAAATCACCTTTGACACTCATGCCTATCAGCCCTTGACGTTGAAGAATTTGTTAAGATCTAAGCAAATTTATACAAAGTTTCATGTTCGGACATTTAATACTTACTTTGACCAAAGCCTTCTGTGTACCAGAACATTTTAGATGCAGGGACCAATCCAAGAGAAGCAATATACACTCAGTTTTGATAAAGCATATTCACATACATTAAACCTTTATTTTGTGACCTTGACCTTTCCGTGCCAAGTGCAAAAACGAATAATGCCATCAACAAATAAGTCACTTTAAATGCTCTCATGACAAACACCAGTCATGTAAATACCAATTGCAATGAAAACATCTGTTTCTGACTTAAGCAGAGACCCCAGAGACCTGACTCTAACAAAATGCCTCTGTTAGAAGGATCAGTATATCTATCCCAGGGGGACAGATACTCGTCCATTATTCCAAGAATATAAGCCAGTTACTTAATGTTACTCATATGTGCAAGATGAGCCATGAGCTACTAGTATGTGGATATAAACATTAGTGTCAACCCATTCCATGAATGTTATGTTAAATAGCACATCAGCTCAAAATTTAATCCTGCATCACAACTCCACACAACGCTGAGCAGCTTCCATCATGAACCGTTCCCGCCGAAGAATATTCTGGATCCTGTTTTCCTCATCACTGCTCTTACACAGGATAACAAAGTGGCTGTCTTTCTTCCTGGCCCGACCCCTCATCTGTACCAGGGTGGTGACTGTATTTGGTGGGTTCATGCAGATGACCAGCTCACATTCAGGGATATCCACGCCTTCCTCTGCTACAGATGTGGCTACAATGATGTGATACTTTTTGCTCTTCACTCCATCAAGCACACGTTTCTGATGTTTCACCTTCATCCCACCATCAGTTGGACCAGACCCATGGCCAACCACTGATGTGATCTTCAGACTGTTTGCTGATGCAAATGTTGTCTGCTTCAGGAAGTTGCTCAGTCTGTGTGCATGTGCTCTCTCCCGGACAAGAATCAAGGCCATTGCATTTCTCCCAGTTTTCCAGTTGATATATTCATCATTGGTGAGAGTACTGAGTAACTGTGTGTAAAGTGAGATGTGAAGTGGGTTGTCATCAAACTCCTGCTGAACATGAGCTGAGTGAGCAGCTCTTTTCATAGCATCTTGCAGCTCTTTACACTCAATACCGATCCCCTGAGCATGATGGAAGCCACTTCGTGCCTGATTCTGGTTGAGAGTCTGCAGGTCAGCTACAGCTGTTGGTATCCCAGAACCATCCAAATCAGACAATGCAATCAAAACTACCGAGGAATGATTGACAACAAACTCCATATTCATTTTGACTTGTGGCTCCTCTGAATTTGCTTGGCAGTTCCCAAGAGCTTGGACAAACTTTCCAGTAGCAACATTGTCCAGGTGCTCTACATACTCAGCCAAGTCTCTCTGCATCCTCTGCACTCCCCACTGACAGACATCATCAATATTGCACAACTCTGACAGCTTCAAGTAACACTGGCAAATGTACATCAAAAGTGTCTTCCGGAAAGCTTTTTCTTCATCAGAAAATGGCTCATAGTTGATCTTCAGTTTGGCATGGGATTGATAGCGTTTGAGTTCTCTCACACAATCTCCTTGGACGATGGCAATGCTGGCTCCGCCTAGATTGTGGAATAACTCCTGCAGCATGCTGACTGTGTTCTCAACACTATCCCGCCCCGCAGGAGAGGCAGTCAGACCGAGCACTTTGGGTCTGAGTTCAGGCGGGCATGGACGGTGATACCCCTCTAGGAGACGATTGAAGGGGTGATTCTTGACACAGTGATGAGCTTCATCAAACACAACCAGCGAAAAGTGTTCCCAGCGGAGCTGCTGCTTCTGCAGTAGATTGTCAGCATAGGCTACAATGCAAATAAATCACAGTTAGGTTACAACACAGATATGTCACAGTTAGGCTACAACACAGATATGTCACAGTTAGGCTACAACACAGATATGTCACAGTTAGGCTACAACACAGATATGTCACAGGCTACAACACAGATATGTCACAGTTAGGCTACAACACAGATATGTCACAGGCTACAACACAGATATGTCACAGTTAGGCTACAATACAGATATATCACAGGCTGCAATGCAGATATGTCACAGTTAGGCTACTACACAGATATGTCACAGTTAGGCTACAACACAGATATGTCACAGTTAGGCTACAACACAGATATGTCACAGTTAGGCTACAACACAGATATGTCACAGTTAGGCTACAACACAGATATGTCACAGGCTACAATGCAGATATGTCACAGTTAGGCTACAACACAGATATGTCACAGGCTACAACACAGATATGTCACAGGCTACAACACAGATATGTCACAGGCTACAACACAGATATGTCACAGTTAGGCTACAACACATATATGTCACATTTAGGCTACAACACAGATATGTCACATTTAGGCTACAACACAGATATGTCACAGTTAGGCTACAACACAGATATGTCACAGGCTACAACACAGATATGTCACAGTTAGGCTACAACACAGATATGTCACAGTTAGGCTACAACACATATATGTCACATTTAGGCTACAACACAGATATGTCACAGTTAGGCTACAACACAGATATGTCACAGGCTACAACACTGATATGTCACAGTTAGGCTACAACACAGATATGTCACAGGCTACAACACAGATATGTCACAGGCTACAACACAGATATGTCACAGGCTACAACACAGATATGTCACAGGCTACAACACTGATATGTCACAGTTAGGCTACAATATAGATATATCACAGGCTACAATGCAGATATGTCACAGTTAGGCTATAACACAGATATGCCACAGTTAGGCTATAACACAGATATGTCACAGTTAGGCTATAACACAGATATAATACTGTCATGCTAGAACATAGACATTTTTCAGAGTTAAGCTACAACAATGACATAGTTAGTTATATCACAATTAGCATAGGTTGATATGTATGAAGGAATAGGATTTTTTTAATAAACAAAAAGTAGATTCCTAAACTTCAGGAATGACCAGTGGGTTGTATTTCCTTCCACTACTACTATACTATTTGGTATTTTGCAACTGGGAAACAGTTTATTTTGGAAAAATTGATTTCTAACACTCCACACATTAAAGATTTATAACTAAAGTACTGTCGGAAATGCTAGAAAAATGCTTTTTAGCCTTAATATCTTTAGAAAGGTGATAAATGTACTATGTTGTCAATATATCAACTCACCTATAGTGTACCTAATTTTTATTTCAATTGATTTAACATTCCCATGCATTTAAAGGGCAGTTTACTGGAGAGAATTTGGTACCAAAACAACAACTCAAGATATTTTCAGAGTTCAACAACAGAAATCTGAAATAGTCTTTACATTTATGCTAATAATACAGGTGGTGTAAAAATATGGATTAACAAATAAATGTTGAATGTTGGTGTTACTTTACTTAATTATCGTTTCTTTATTGAAGAAATGTTAATATAAAGCATAACCGGGACGTAAAACCATCCTTGACAACTTTGACAAGGGAGTACTTAGACGGGCGGTCTACAAACTTTATGAGAAGAAGAATATATATATTCTAAAGAAGCTACACCAGTGACTTCGTTAAATCTTTGGCCAATGTTCACAACTAGATTAAACTGACCGAATTACATCCATATTTTTGCAATGAAATATACTGTTGACATGCAAAACATTTATTAAAACATTGCACATTTCTACAATCAATCGATAAGATAACACAAGTGATAGGATTCTTTCCAATGTACAGTAATTCGTATGTTTATTTCAAAACAAACACACATACACAAATGATCCCTTACATAACCAATACTTATACTATACGTACACATATTCAACATTTTGAACAAAACATCTATTGAGATGACCCCTCGCCCGAGCGTGTGCTCAGCTGTCAATTTCACCTGTCGATACCGTGCATGCTGATGATGTAACACAGGCAGTTAATGTTTGTATCAAATAACGTCCCACTACCCCTTATTTTTCTAAGTTTTTTGATATTTTCATCAGTAAAAACACATTTTAGGGCATGTCTCAAAATTTATTCCCTCGGTCTACATTAGGTAGATGTTTCTTAAAGTGATATTTGTTATTTAAGTAACTGTAATATCTCTGAATTTTAAATATAAGTCAAAAAGCATTTTTCTTGCATTTCCGTAAGTACTTTAAGTGTCTCCACTTCTGCAAGTACCTGCTGTGCTGACGATGATGTCATGCTTGTAGAGAGGTGTGTTGTCTGTAGGCAGTATGTTCCCACACAGCGTGGCTATCTTCAGCTGGCGTTCCTGCACCTCTCCATCAACTGTCAGGCTGGAAGTAACATAGTATTCTACAATGAATTATGGACATACTCCATTCTGATTGGTCAGTCAGAGGTTTCAAATGACAACAACCGCCTCTGATTGACATAACTGATGTGCTGACCACTAGTAGAAAAGTACATCATTTCTCAGTGATTGTCAGGGGGGGGCAGTTCTAAACCACTATATGGACAACTGTAGATAACATACATGGTATATGGCAATACATTTTGTGAAGAGAACATGGCAGAGATCAATTAAGAGTTTGTAGTTCAAGTTTGAGGGACATCAGACTGTGAGAGCTTTGGACCTTTTCTCAAGCTATCATTCTTTCTGTATCACGATGAGAGGTGTGACTTTATAATGGTGATACGCAGCAGAGAAACAACCTTGCATCGCTTGATTACTGTTCTCTATGGTTGCTCACTTCATGACGGCTTACAAAGTAGGTGTGCTACACACTTTCTATGTCTTCTATTTACGGATGTGTTTTGTAAAATGATACAATATGTGTAAAATAATCATGTTTAGGCACATAAAGCACCATTATTTGTTTAAAGGCTTTTATAATTATCCAAGTTTCCTCAAAAATCAAATTCATTCTGTAGATACTTTTAATGTAATTTTAATGAATATTTAAAGTTTTAATAACATTTTCTGATCTAATTTTATGTCGAGAAGAACAAGACTGTATTTTTAAGCAGCCATAGTTACTAGCAAACTAACAGGCATCAATAATTATGTATTTAGTTTAGTATTCTGTAATATTGATTACTGCCTTCTTTTGCAACATCATTTTCTGTAGATTTTAAAGTTCAAATACAGACAATGAGCAGCTGAGATAACAGGGCCTAAAGATGTTTCACAGAGCTGTGGCTTTGGACTAGTGGTACATAACAAACACTGATATATGCTAACAAAGTCTCTGGCATTGAATTGCTGGTAGACTACCACAGTTTGGGTTTATTTAACGTTTCAGGGTACTTTCTGACCCTTATCATGACTTTAGCACTTATAGGCATATATCACCTCTGTTTCTGTTTCTGGGGAAGTAATCAGTAACAGATGTGCTTACATGGCAATTCTCATGATCATATGACCATGGACAAGCTAAAGGACAAACTGGCTACTGTAAACACTCATGTCAAATAAATGGTGATGGAACTGAATTGAACTATATTTACACTCAGGTCGTGATCAGCAGTTACAACAGTTACATACATCCTAAACTTCAGGTCTACAATATGTATCAACAACTTGACCAAGCAGTGAGTACACATACTAATGTACAACATTCCACTGAGAAACATGGTATTCAAGGTAGACAGTAACATAAAACATTTACACATCGTAGCTAAATTTTACTATTAGAAAGTAAATTCATATTAGGCCAGACCAATTTTATTTCTTGTTTTACGAATCTGCCTGTCGTAATTTTTCAAAAATAAGAAAAAAAATTAAAAATGAATTTTGCCTGCTCAAAAAATATAATTCAAATGTTTTTATTGATCAAAAATGTAAACTCACATAAAAAAAATTGTTTTGTTTTTTGGCCCATATGCACTTCATAAATTGCCAAAAGTAAAATATTTCTGGTACTTCAAAGGAATATTACTTTGACTGGTGATTTTTTTCATTTTTTTAAAATTTCCTCCTGCCTTTATGTTTTCTGACGACAAAAATCCGTAAAAGAAGAAATAAAAAATGGTCTTGCCTTAAAGACAAATTTATTGTCAAGTGTATCATGGTGCCAGTTCAATAAGTATGCAAAGTCAACATTCCCCAACTATCATGTGGTTACTGACACAACAGCCAAGTGCAGACAGGTTGCGGCCTCTCTAGCTGAACCTCCTTGTGTCTACTACATAATGGAGGCCATTTTGTATGGGTAGTGTGTCTTGTCTCACACCACAGTGATAGGTAAACCAGCAATCTTGCAGACCTGAAAGTTGACAGTAAATACTGAGGCTGTAATGAAAAACTGGCTTATCTGAAGCGGAGCTAAGTGTCAGGACACAGGTGACTTTTGTGACAATACACAGTCATGGACAGAAAACTACCTACCGCTTGTACATCCGATCCCCAAGCTCATTGAAGATGTACTTTGACTGCTGCAGCACCAACAACACCTTGTCCACCAGGAACAAGACTGGGCGCAGAGGGTTCTGATTCAGCATACAACTTAGCGTCATCACCGACACCAGCGTCTTCCCAGTACCTGCAGCAGCAGCAAACATGTCACATTGCTGCATCACATCCATCAGTATCCAGTCACACAGATCTGAGTTACCATAAATATCCTGGACCAAGTTGCCACCAACCTTTAGTTTGAAGCTATTTCACTAGGCATTACACTAAAAATGACACAGTTATCACCAAACTGAAACAAGTTGCAATATCACCAATACAATCAAATCCACGATGAGCCGAATCACTGGGGACCAAGTAATATATTCGACTTATCGATGTATTCGAGACATAGGTATGTCTATGAGGGTAGAAAAAAAAGATGATCCAGTCCTAATTCCTCCGCCTAAGCATTTGTTTATCTAATGATTTTACCCAATCCACAAATAAATCAGACGTCATCCAGGCTGACTTGTTGTGACAGTATGAAGTCAGCAGAGATTTGACGTTCTTAAAACAACGTGGCTTAGCAGATTTCCCTATCACTAATAGGGGCACCTTATCAGTTCCAGTCTGATTAGCACAGACATTGATTTCCGTAAAATCACTAATCTGCCTTTTGAACTCACCCGTCAATGGTGGAAAGGTGTGAGCCGCGCTGGTTTGTTAATTGGATCAGTTAGCTACACCAATTAACTTCTCATTGACTGACTTCGGCTTATGTATACAAGATTGCTGTTGTTTGAATCTCATGGGACCAAATTTCCTTCTCGAGTCATCGTGTGTATTTATGAGACGACTTCATGTAACCGGAAATAAAATGATGACAGCTATAACAGGGAATGGTCGGGACCGACCGGTACTTCGAGTTATGCATAATATTCGAGACACCGGCATTCGACTCATCAGGATTTGACTGTACTTGAATTGCCCAATACACTTGGAAAATTTGCCCCCTATGTCTGTTAATGTTCAGATAAACATCTTTCTAAGCCAGAATTCTCTTTTGATAAGTAAACTAATTTTATCTCAAATATAGTGAGAGCTCATTAACACAAATTGACCATGTTGAATGAAAGAAAATCACTGCTAGTATATGGGAAAGTTACAAATACTGTACTATTAAAGATAAAGGGATATAGATGGCATAGTCCCTCACTTAAGAATCTATGGTGGATATCAAGCTGCACGGTTGTGTATGTCGTAGCTTTAACTCTACAGAAATGAGTACAATTTTTCTGACAAGAAACTGGATAACTGAAATTGAACATGCTTTTTCAGAACTAACAAAGAAAGAAAAGAGTTGATTGAGAAACACGTAGACTCACCTGTTGGCAAGAAGATGACCCTGTCACTGTCCATAGTTTTGCAAAACAGATCCACCTGGTAGCTTCGAGGTATGGTCTTAGTCAATTGATAGGCCTCTGCCTCCGCATCGTCTATACCGAGTACCCGCTTTATCTGTCCCAGGTTGAGCTGGGGAGCAGTCACCTCTGCTGCCCTCTGCCTATGAGCTCTACTCTCTAGGTGAGCTTGGTAGTCTTTTTCTGTGTTCATCGGCCGATTACATGTGTCACAGTAATATTTGAAATAGCCACTGAAAGGGTTCTTCGGTGGCACCTTTGGTATTGCACCTATACCAAGATGGCCACTCAGCAGTTCAAAATTAGAGGATGGAAAGATACTTGACTCTCGCATCTGTTTGTAGAGACATGTTTCTTTCTTGTTTAGGAGCAGCTGAATGATTGTGATCAGTCGTAGTGGAGCCCACAGAAGCATGTGGTCCATCATTGAGAACACTGCTAGCATGTGAGTTGTAACTGATGAAACTTTCAGCCTCACCACCAGGAATGTCAACATCTAATGTCTTGCTTCGATCAGATTCATCTTCTTCTGAATCCAGGTTCTCAAATGCCTCCAGGGTAACTTTATTTCCCCTGTGTCGAACAGTGGTCTGGTTTTTTAGAGGGTTGTAGGTATTGGTCCGCCTACTTCCAACTGATCCCTTGACGTTATCTTGGAAGTCATCAGTGTCTCCAGCAGCAGTATGTTTTGGCTGAGTGATCGCTGCTGTTTTCATCCTCAAAGGCATCACATCTGTTGTGGTAATGGCAGGGTTGACAAGTGGGGAACCTCTGCCCATGCCAAGTTTAGCCAATGTAGTGCTTTTGGAAACAACATATGTTGAAGGAATTATTTCTGTGTTACTTCTGTAATCCTTGGAAACCTCTTCCTTTGCTGCAGCAGACATTCCTGGACTTTGTTCTCGTCCCATGCTAAGCATATTGCTGGCACTGTTTGTAGTTGATGACATCCTCACCCCTGTGTCAGTTCCACTCTTTCTGCCGGACTGTAAACCATCAGATTCAAGATGGTCCCTGTTTCCTAAAGTATCTGAACACATATTTGATGCTGGAGTGATAGGAACAGGCTTGAAACTTGAAGTGACTGTTTCCTTCACTTCAGTATTTGGAGTTACGCATTTGACTTTAGTGACTTCTCCTGTACGAAGAGCTTCCCATACATCCTTGTAACCACCATGCTTGGGTTCTGTCATGTCCCTTGGACTATCTTCAACCTTACAATCTTGGCTACTGTTGTCAGTATTAGCAGATTCAGCCACATCGACATAACGCTGCATCTTTTCCACAGTCTTAAGATGCTTGGGACTTTTCTTATGGATTGACAACTGTTCGAAAGAGTTCAGTTGGCACTGGCATACCTCACACACATACATGTTTAGTGGGGACAGGCCTGCCAAGTTCTGATTGCCTGGTGAATCTCGCCCCAGAACTTCTGTCCTGACCTGGTCCAAGGAACTGCTGGCCAACCCTGCCTTGTTTTTATGTTTGGCAGAAGCATAATGCTGCGCAGCACTTTCTTGTCCACTGAATGACTTGAGACACACCTTACACTCTAGTGCCAACATTCCATTCTGGTTGACCATCTTCCTCTTTTCCTCAGCCCTTGCGTGATTCCGACCCTGAAGGTGCTGGGAAGCATGCTGTGAAGATGTGAGTTCTATGTTACAAACAAAGCATCGCCCCCTTCCACCTGTAAACACATATGCTGGCTCCACCTCCCCATCTCCAGGCTGGGCTGATGCTCCAGAATGTGCATCAACTGCATCAACCAAGTTCAATCTCTGTACAGCCTTTTCATGTGGTTTCCCTGCCAAGTGTTGACTGGCATGTGCCTGAGAGGTAAGTTCTATCTTGCATACATTACAGAAGCCTCTCATTCCATTGAACTCATATATCCTCTGTTCTGCTGACTCTTTTGATTCCTCCTTGATGTTTGACACTTGCCATCGTCCTAAAGCTTTAGTGTGGTTCTTGCCACTGAGATGCTGCCGTGCATGCTGGGAGGATGTTAGCTCAATGCTGCAGACATTACACCATCCTCTGTTCCCATCAAACCGATATGGCTGACTAGGACAGGTGGACAGTTTGGCACCAGCTGTTCTCTCACTGACATCTGGGCCATTGTTGACAAAAACATTACCAGTATCTGCTGAATGTAATCCTTTTGCTTTTGCATGCTTCTTACCACTGAGGTGTTGGTTCGCATGTTCAAGATGTTAATTCAATTTGGCAGATGTTACATCGTCCAGTGCTTCCATGAAAAGTATATTCCTGTTCTTCTGTTCTGTCTTCTTGAATTAAAGGAGTTCTTTGCATTTGTGCATTCTGTGAGACACTTGAGGAATACTGACTGTCATTAGTGTTGAGGACATGCTGGCTGGGAATGTTAAGGTTGTGTAGATGTGTATAGCTACCGAGAATTGGAACATCTGACAAAGTTCCTCCATGAACGGATAAGCACAGATTATGTTCAGTTTGATAACCTGCAGTCTGCGGCAAATTGCTTGTTGGTCCAGCTGAATCTGTGAGTTTGTTTGCATTTGGAAGCATAATTTGTGCTAAACTTTGAGCTTTTTGAAACTGACTCCCTTTCGGTTCTGACAGGATATTCATTGGCAGGGAAGTCTGAGTGGTAACACCTGGAGTTGCAGGGGGGCTATTTACCAAGGTCATTTTCTGGGAAAGCTGTGGTTTCTCCTGCTCTTGAAGAGTGAAATTCGTTGTGGGCAGCTGTGACCTCTTCTTGTGTCGATCACTCTCAAAGTGCTGATGGGCACTCTCAGGGCCAGAGAATACAACATTACACAAGTCACATTTCAGCACCTCAGTGGAAGGTTGTCCTGATTTCCATAGGTTCTCTGCTTTCTTATGTCGCGATCCATCAAGATGTTGCTGGGCATTTTGTGGAGATGTAAAATCCACATTACAGACATTGCAGTAACCCTGCTTTCCATCAAAAGTATAAGGGACTTTGTCTCCATTAAGCTGGTCATTACCATCACCAGTAGTATTGTTCTTTGTATCAGATACAGAAATGTTTCCAACTGGAGTAGAACTAGGTGTCAATAATGGTGGCATGTTTTGACGTGGTCTAGTTTCAGGCATGGAACTACTGTTCCTGTAGACTGGAACATCAGCAAACAGTCCAGTAACTTGGTCTGAAGAGGGCACGTCTAATCTTGTAGTGCCACTATTAGGCTGTGACATGTTTGTCAAGCCATACTGGGGAGAACTATTGTTGGAGACATTTCCCTGTCCCTCTAATTCTCTCTTCTTCTTTAAGTGCTTGGCACTTGCAAGATGTTCCTGAGCATTGCCAATACTAGAAAATGGTACATTGCAAATCTGACACTTCAATACATCGCTGGTATCCTCTCCCGCTTCCATCTGTTTCAGTTTCTTCTGATGTTTGGATCCACTGAGATGTTGCCGAGCATGTTGTAGAGATGTCAAGTCAATGTCACAGAGATGGCAGTAGCCTTTAGAACCATTAAAGTCATATTCCTTTCTCCCTGTTTCATTGGACAGGTTGAAAGGCAATGTCTGGTTGAGCCCTTGTGGGAGATCGTTACCTGCTTGTTGTATGTTCCCAGGAAGGAGAGGGCTTTGAACTGCTGTTGCAGCTTGGTATGTGAAACCTAAACTTCTCCTTACAGTCTCAACGTGTCTTGGGCTGACAATGTGTTGTTGAAACTGTTCAGCTGCATTACACTGGACACTGCATGGGTCACACCAGTATGTCCTTGTGTTTCCATTAAACACAGAATTTTTAATCTGGTCTTCCTTTCTCAAGTGAGCTTCACTGATAAAATGTTGTTGAGCTGGTAAAGCACCAGTAAATTGCTTCTTACAGATGTCACAGTAAAGTGGAACACGCTGTTGGCTGTTCATATCTCCTAGGTACAGACAGCTGAATTATTATTCCAGTTGAGTACTGTCTCAAGTGTAAATCCTGATAGATAGTATTATCCCTTGGGTATACAGTCCTTTGGTAGAATGAATATATCCCACACAAAATATATTCGCTTTGTGAAGCACACGGCAATTTCCAGGAAATTACATTTCTAATTTTAGCATCACTGGGAATACCAACTTTCTTTCTCTCGTCGTACGTGTCAAGCAATATTATATGCTTGGTGTTTGTTCAGGTGATAATAGTCACTACGCGACTTGTGTGCAAGTTATGTTATTTCTGACAACACGAAAAACACAATCGGAAACTTGAAAAGGGGATTCCCCTCGGAAGACAGCGTCGCGATAAAATCAACTGATCACGTGACCGTGTCAGGCCCACCCATACGAACTCTCCATGGGTTAAAGTCTTATAAATCTTTGATGTTACTTCGTCATGACATAAGGACCAACATGCACGGCATAAGCATTATTTATATCATTATACTGTATAATTTATTGCATAAAACGTATGACTATTTTAGCTGTTGCGGAGTGCCTCGATACTGTCTGCAAAGGCCCGCGAAGGACGAATCTGACTTAGTGTATTTAGCTGTGTACACTTCGAACGATGAAACACAGTCGATTAAAATTATTAGGTGCATTTGTCATGACTGTAGGTTATCTACAAGATACTTCTTTAGTATCACACTATGTTTGATTCCAAAAACGTTTAAAAATACTTACACAAATGGTTACCTCCCTTGAAAAATACTGACATTAGAGCTATATTTTCGAATAATCGGACTGTTTCTAACACGAGAACAGTTTGTAAAGTTATGGATGAAAAGATCCGAGTTTTCATTATAATAACTTTTTACGAGTGTCACTAGATTGTTTGTTTCATAAAAAGGTCAAACAATTTATAGTTTTCGATAACTTTGTATGAATGCGAAAAGATTTCAAAATAGCTTTACCTCTGTTATTTTAGCAACCAAAAACATGGCCGACAGTGAGAAGGTGAGAGTTGTGCATAACGTGTTAAATACCGATATTTAGCTGGAAACAATTACATTTTGACATTTCACTTATGGGCGATTTATTGCAAGTTTTTTGTATCATACCCAAATATGTCAGCAATAAGTGAGTCTATTATTATCATCCATAAATAATAAATACTAAAATAGATAGAAACGAATGAAATAGTTATGAAACAAAATCACACCTAAGTGGGTTTTGTAAAGAGTCAAATGTGCCAGCATATTTTACCTGGCTTATACAAATGTGTGCGTTTCTTCTGTCCTACTGTAGTTATCAAATATGTCAGCAATAAGTGAGTCTATTATTATCATCCATAAATAATAAATACTAAAATAGATAGAAACGAATGAAATAGTTATGAAACAAAGTCACACCTAAGTGGGTTTTGTAAAGAGTCAAATGTGCCAGCATATTTTACCTGGCTTATACAAATGTGTGCGTTTCATCTGTCCTACTGTAGTTATCCTACTAGTCTAGATAATTGAAACAATGTGATCTCATTATCCCTGCATTCAATAAATGTTTGTTTATTGATTGTTGCAAAATATATGTTGCCAACTAGATAATATACATTTTTCAAAATTTTTGCAGGTTTTGAAACAGCTCTTAAGCAATAGAAGAATAAGGAAAGATAAAGATGTAGAAGAGCTTTACCTTTCTGACAAGTGAGATTATGTTTGTTTGTTTGTTTGTTTTACAAAATGGTACATGCACAAAGCATGTATTTTCTCGCGGACCCCAGTTTTTTTCATTGTTTGGTATAAAGACATAAAGAGGCTCGAAAACTCTAAGACACAATACACATCTTTGCTTGACAAGTATACTGCTGACACCATGGTCTAGCTGCACCCTTTAGGAGTTTTATGCAGGACTGATATTGATAAATAACAACAGCAAAATATATCATTAAAAATGTGATGTAATTGATTTTGTTTTTTATTAATGTATATGAAAGTAATGTTGATCTGAAATATTATATATTTTGTTGTTGTAAATCTCTGTTAAGTCATCCTTAAGCCAGTGCAATTGGCTAAAGAAACTGATGTACATGTATATAACAAAATAGATAGGGATTATTTCTCATATTTAGTCCAGATATGTACTGTTTATGCAGTAACCATGTTAACTGGAAATGTGTTTCATAAAGATACTGTCCATGGAAATGTGTTTCATAAATATGGTGTACATGGAAATGTTTCATAAAGGAGATTCTGAGATAAAACTTTTTATGATGTTTGTTTCAGAAGTCTAACAGAAGTATGTGATCTGCAGCGTTTTCATTATTTAAGATGTTTATGGCTCAATGGTAATAAGGTAAGCCCTTGACCACCATGACAGATATGTTCTGTAAAGACTGCGAGTTTTGGATTGCCTAGTGGTTAAAGTGTTCACTTGTCACACAAAAAATGCAGATTTAATTCTTCTCTTGGGTACTATGTGTGAAGCCTATTTCTGGTGTGCCCCTCTATGATACTACAGCAATAGGAACAGGGTGGTGTGATGTGGTAGCCCAGTGATGAAAAGTGGTGTAAATACATACACCATCTCTCCCTCATTCTGGGTTAGAAGTCCCCAGCATAACTATGCGTGTTATCAACCGGGATGAGAATTTTCCACAGGTATGTGGAATTCCACAGATTTGATCGTGCTGGGGTCATTCTTGTATATCGTCCCCCAAGATCCCCGGAGCATTGTCCTCGTTTTTCACTCATACCCATTCTCATCCCTGTTGTAAAAGTACTCAGACTTGATGACATGGTTCATTTCCTGTCTTTATTCCCCGAAAGTGTCAGACCTAGATTTGAATGTTGTCATACAGTGTGTCAAAGCTTAAATCATGTAAATGGCAATGGATTTGCTGGCATATCTAGTCTACAAGTATTCAGGTTTCATAGTAAAAAAAAAAATCCCCATTTTTAGTATTTATTTTTAGAAATGGGCCTCTCAAATTGTACCTATGTGGAGAATTAAATCCGGGTCTTCGACATGACGATCGAACGCTTTAACCACTAGGCTACCCCACCGCTCAATGCCTGTATGAAACAGTACAATCAAGTATCAGAGACTTGAAGTAAAGTCATCATTTTCAAGTCTTGATGGAAATTTAAAGGTAAAGTGATTATAGTCTAATGACAAGCTGCTTACTTCTTACGTAAATGTAAATGGCACATTGTGTGGAATTGTTTCTAAAATTGTAAGGTTTCATATCTTGTAGAAAACACATTTAACGGTAATTTAGATACTTGTCCACAGAAATGCTGAGAGTGATTTCCTTATTTAACTCCAGTCTACATGAAGTGTATATTTGTATGCATGGTACATAAGATTTTGATAGATGAATTAAATAATGTTTCAATGTTTTTATTTATATGTACATATATTACGTCACCAATCATTTTCTGAAGATTCCTTTGACAGCTACGGCAACTCAATTGTCTGAGTGAGAACTACCAGCTGTCCGAGCTATACCTTCACAACAATGAGCTGGTTGATATCACCGGGGCTCTCCGCCACTTGACATGTCTGCAGGTCCTCATGCTGCATAACAACCAGCTCACAAAGCTTGATCGGATCCTCACTGAGATTAACAAGATGCAGAGCTTGAAGACACTTAGTGAGTGCTAAAGTTATAAGGGCAGTTATCATCTGTGTCACAGTACAGTAACATTCCAATACTGTACTCCCAGCAGTTTAAACAATAGTGCTGCATGAGTCTCATTTATAGTCCATTTGACTTCATTTTAGACCGATGAATTGCTCACTAGCACAAACTCTAATAACTGCAATAAAACCAACTTTTGCACAGTCACATGAAATCGACAGGCCAACTCTGATGATTTGTCTCATAATTTTGGACACCAGAATATAAAGGTTGGTTAACAAACAATCATTATTTTGTTGTCACTTTTCACTATTTCTTACGAAGGGGCACCACTTGCTGGTAGAACAGCCAGGTGTACGAGTTGTACATGTGAAATTGAAATTTTACTGTACATGCTTGTTGATTACCTGGCTGCTTTACCAGCAAGTGCTCCCACCTCGTAAGAAATAGTGAAAAGTGACAACAAAATAATGATTGTTTGTTAAACAACTTTGTTATTCGGTTGTCCAAAATTATGAGACAAATCATCAGAGTTGGCCTGTCGATTTCATGTGACTGTGCAAAAGTTGGTTTTATTGCAGTTATTAGAGTTTGTGTTAGTGAGCAATTCATCGGTCTAAAATGAAGTCAAACGGACTATATCTCTTGATGTGGCTTTGTGGGCCTCGAGGGGAAGCACAGTTTTCATTAATTTTTCACCATTATTATGCTATTATTTTTGTTATTATTATGCTCATATTTGTATAGCGCGCCAATATCCAGATCAGCTGCACAAAGGTTCTTTGATTTTACCTCGATCACAAATGGCACATTGTATTATAAAGCTCAACTCCCTGGGGATCATACAACTGTTACGGCCACTAGGAACACTAAGCTAATGTGGCTTTCCCATTCTTGGAGGTACTATAGGACACTCTAAGAACCATCAAGGACTTGTAACATTACTTCATTAGAATTAAAAGGAACTGTTGTAATGAGTGAGTGACTTTTGTTTTATGCCGCACTCAGCAATATTCCAGCTATATGGCGGCAGTCTGGAAATAATCGAGTCTGGACCAGACAATCCAGTGATCAACTGCATCAGCATCGATCTACACAATTGGGATATGATGATATGTGTCAACCAAGTCAGCGAACCTGACCACCCGATCCTGTTAGTCGCTTCCTACAACAAGCATCGCTTACTGAAGACCAATTCTAACCCCGGATCTGGAACTGTTGTAAGAATAGCAGGTCCTGGCTTCACCTCACCATTTGTGGTCTATATAGTGCATTATCTTTACTCAGTAAACACTCAATGTTTGTATTGTTGATATGTTACAATGTTCTTTCACCTTCTGGTCATGTGTTACTCAGATTTATTCAACAATCCAGTGGCTCAAGAGAGTGGATACCGGCTGTTTGTGGTTTACTCTGTTCCATCTGTGGAGCTCTTGGATAGAAAAGGTAATAAGTGTCTCTTTGTCCCTGCTGTAAACAAGTATCATGAATCTTGTTAATATGCTGCATTTGTCAGCATTAAAATTCAGTTCTGGTTGTTCTAGCACTCATTGTGAGTCAACAGGGTTTAAAATGGTCAATGCATTTTTAAAAAAATCTATATCTCCTTTCTGATTTTTGTAGGTCTGGTAATTTTGATTATCCTGACATAAATTTATGAATTCAAGCTGTTCTTTATGTTCTGTGATGAATGTGCCAGATGAATGTAGCAGAGTTTGAGTTTCGTTGGTATGAACCAAGCTAAGTTATTATGTTAGAAACTAATTTTCACAGAGGTCTTAAAGTTGGAACGTGATAAGGCTAGGAAGATATATAATCAAGAACAAGAGAAGATCCGCGCGACACCATTGCCTTTGGTCGTAGATCAGATGGTCCTCCATTGCCGATCTATAATCCTCTTGACATCCACATCCCAGTCAGAGCAGGTGAGTCTTAGCACTATCACAAGATTTTTACAGGCACCTGGCACAAAAGAGCTGGTCTCCTGAATACTCAGAACTTTTTCATCTACTAACAGGCTTTTCATTTTAACATAAGATTTTGATGGACAGTATGTATCATTTTTATCATGTTCATACATTATGAGATTGGTAACATGATCACTGGGCTGTCACATCGACCAGTTACAACAGTTTTATGTTGGAAGATAGTGTGTGGAATCAAGGTTAAACTAGAGTCATCTGTCAAAAAACGTATCCCCCAGTCGGATACAAATTGCAAGTGGAGTTTGGCGACTTATAGCCCAGTTTTGGTTCATTGCCATTGGATACAAATAGTCTAGTGAAGAAAAATATAATGCTGTTTGGATCTTTCAATATCCCATATCATCAAAAGGCACCACTTCGCCACTAGACTGATATGTACTGCAGCTTCCATCAAGAAATATTTTGGTAAGGTTTGAGAGTCCTGCTCTGGAAAACATACAACGACAGATAGAGAGTATTATTCAGCATCTGATCACACACCCACACCCATTTTCAACTAAGATGTAATTAAATGAATAAGAAACACCATAATCACTGGATGCGTTGATGTGCCTAGAAAATAGTAGTACTTGTTAAATAATCTAGCTATCAGAATGGACACAGGTACTGTCTTAGAGATCATATGCTTGACCCACACATTGACCAGCGCATTGAGAGACTGCTGGCAATCACAAGATAGCTGAGTGTGACAATAAAAAAATAAGCCCATGTACGTTCTGTTTTTGAAGGAATGAAACACTGACATCATGATGACTTTGTTTCTACCTTGCAGATCCTGGAGATATTGGTAACAGCTACTTGAGAGATTGGTAAGTCTTGTTGATAGGTCCCCGTAAGTAGGTCAAGGCACTTCGCTAGACCTTATTACTCCTGTGACAAACAACGTACACTTGGTCCGGTCTAGTAAAGTCATATTTGGTGGTCGTGCAATTTGGAGTGAGTGAGTGAGTTCAGTTTTACGCCGCACTCAGCAATATTCCAGCTATATGACGGCGGTCTGTAAATAATCGAATCTGGGCCAGACAATCCAGTGATCAACAGCATGAGCATCGATTTGCTCAATTGGGAACCAATGACATGTGTCGACCAAGTCAGCAAGCCTGAACACCCGATCCCGTTAGTCGCCTCTTACGACAAGCATGCATTACTGAAGATCAATATTCTAACCCGGACCTTCTCGGGTACGCGCAATTTAGAACCAGAACTGGTTCTTGAATATACGCTTTTCACCAGAAATATGGTACCAGAAGTATGCTGGGTTCCGTCTTGCATATCACAAGCTGGCGCACACAAAGGGAGTAGCACCTCACGAGACTTACAGGCCCTTTAGGACATGTAAATAAGATTCTCACAAACCTACATTCTAACTGATATCTGACACATGGGACTTAAGTTTGCAGAGTTTAATTACCTAAGTTAGCGTTTTTCCTTTAGAAAGAAATAATAAGAATATATACAGATTTCTTGCTGAATTAACAAAAATATGTTTTATCTTATATTGGCAGCGTTCCTAATGAAGACCCAGAAGAGGCAGTAAATGCACGCCGCCTAAACAAGTCCATTGCAGTTTACACAAGCTTTGACTGGTCAAAGGTTCCCCGCATTAAAGCTCGAAGGACAGCTGAAGAGATGTTTGACTCTCCAGAGATCATCACACATGTGTATCGATGAAATAAGGTCATGATGTGAGATACAGAATAGCAATACTGCTACATTGCTGCAGTGTATACCTTCACTCACTTGCAATACTACCAGCAGTTTTCTGTCACACAGTTTTGGTGTCTCTTCCAAAAGTCCAACTGAATGTAACATTCAACAGTTGCAATTTCAATTTACAATGATTGAATCGAGACAACTCAGCTATAATATTCAAGATCTTGGTACTCTTCAATTTAGTTAATATAACTGTCAGATCTTACTATGATTTGTGCATTTTTACTGACAGCCAGTTGGGGGATTTCTCTTTACAAAATCAAAAGAGTCTTAAAAATCAACAAAAATATTTTTCAGAATCACTGAAAACAATGTCCAGTATTATCTTCCGTGGTTGTGCATTTAATGCAGTGATTAATTGGGTTATTTCCTTTTATGATTCAGTGTTGATCATGGTTATCGTCTCCTGTTAGTTATCATGACTAGGTGATTTCAGTATGTTTTGAAGTGTTACTATTTTGAGTTTGTTACAAGTGAACTTTAACGTTCATCTCCATTAAACATTACATAACATGGGCTACTTCACCAAATTAAATGCTAGCCAGTATTACAGTTTTCCAGTATCTGTTTCACAGTATTATTAAAAGAAAGCCAGTATTGGATTACTCTAGCCATTGCATGTGATATATTTTTCATAAATGTATGTTTGATATTTGCATGATTATTCTTATTTAGACTGAAGTCTACATAATCAGTATTAACATTGATGTGATTTGATGCTGTAACAAATCAGTTCCTACTAACAGTATTTAACAGTATTGTTTTCAGTAGTCATTGATAATTCTGACCATTTATATGCTCTATATTCTTTCAAGAGCATTTCTTATAACATATGAATTTTATATATACTGAATTTGCAATACAATTAACATATAAATATCTATATATTTAGAATCACCGCTTCTAAAAATGCATTTTGTTCCTACCATTTCTACATGGATCTTGTTTATATATTTTACACATAGCATTTCTGTAATAAAATATGGCTTGCAACATGCCTTCTGAATCTTTTTGCAGTGATGTTTCAACACATTTCAGGACAAAAGAAAGAAGAGATACTGACTGTGATCACTCGAGTTTCTGCCCCCCACAAAACCACAGCTTGTGACTTTCTTTCAAATAATGTTGAGGAAACACAACATGTGTATGATACACCATTTATGTACATATTCCAGTCATACAATCATACAAACACAAATAATCCCATATAAACATCCACCCCTTGTGGTAGAACCTAGCATGATTAATACAAGACATTGTACACACACAAACATGTTCATGAGCCAAGATAGACTGGTAAGTAATGAAAATGACTAATCCACCAACCACATCACAAGCTGTACCTGGACGTACTGCTGTAAAGTATGTTACCGACACATTAATACACATCAACACTAACATAGGATTGTTTCCTGTTCTCAGCTTTCACTGTGACTCAATACATGTCCTCTGAGAGTAATTTACCCCCAGAATACTTCCTTGTCGAACAACTTGGCACCGACTCAATCAAGTCCTGATGCAGCCCATTCATGCCTCATGTAAAATTCATTCATGGCAGTCAAACGAATCAGTGATGATGAAATCAGAAATCAGCAGAATCATTCTTCATACTTCCTGCAAAATTGAATAACAGGAGTCAAATTGTGTCCATGTTCACACTTCAAGGGCTTTCAGTATTGCATCCCTCTCCTTCAAAGCTTTCTGTGCTCCATCTTTTTCCTTCTTTGTTGGTGTTTTCTTCTTCTGTTTAGCTGCCTGAATCTTTCGATAGGCTTCCATCACCTAGATAAACAGAATCGAAGATCAGATCAGTTCTACTAGCATGGTTTTAGGTACACACAAACACAGGCAGTGGGACAGTGAATGTAGTTATATGCTCAAGTATGCAATATTCCACCTACATAAAAGCGGCCTTTAAAAAATAGGTTTGGACAGAGTCTGAAGATACATTCGTGTCATACATGGCCTGAGCCATCTGATACCCAGGCATGTAAAAAATAAACATGGCCAGGTATAATATACCATAATATACTAATCTTAAATTGTTATTTCTTTGACTGAATGAAATTTGATGATTGTCCATGCATGCTTTTCTTTCATTCATACTTAACCCTGACAATACAGATATCGTATATAAAGATTTAAAGTGCTACATCCTAAGAGACTCAAATTCCATAATATTCTCAGGTTTTGCACATAGGAAACTTTTATTTTGAAATAACAGCTGAGAGATAGTCACTCTTCATCTGTAGTGGCCAGCTTGACTCTTTTAAGATGTCTCTGCACTCGACATGTAGTACTTGGGACCTAAGGTGGAGAAAGACCCCATGTACTGACCTCTGCATCAGCTGCTGCCAACTTCTTCCTCATCTCCTGTCTCGCCATCTCCTCCTTGGCAAGCTTGTACAGTGTTTTAGTGATTGTTACATTTCGCTGGCTCAGTGCCTTCAGTTCTTGCTGCTTGCGTCGCAGCTCTGCAAGTATCTCATCGTCTGGGTTGTCTTCCACCTTATCATCTATCTCTATCAAACCTAGAATGAAACATCACTACTGGTCACCATACCGTTATCTGATTCATTGTCATCATACTGACAGGTGTGGTATGATACTCTAGCTGTCTAACACAAAGATGAGTGAGTGAATATTATTTCACCAAATGATCAACAATGTTCCTGTTCCAGCAGTTGACTGACCTTGTTCTTCAAGCTCTCGTTTAATCCTTCTCTCTAAGTGGGCTGGGTTAACAATGTTCAGCTGTTTGGCCAGCATGCGTGGGGAGATGGCAGGTGCTTCCTCAGCAGATTCTAAAGAGACAAGTCGCAAACAATCCATGTTTAATTTCTGACACAACAGTTGATTCACATAAAAGAGTAACCAAATTCAACTGACAAAAACATAGAAAAAGGGCGGTACTGACCTTTGCCCCCAGCAATGTCCGCTAGGGAGTCATCTATAGGGGTCATGATGTTCTCCTCGATCAGCGCAGCCACCAGGCGCTGGGTCAGGTGTCCGAATGGGGACTCATCAAGGTTACTGGTCAACAATTACAAGCACACATTACAACTTATCAAATCAGTTTTGAATGCAATGGCAATCATTCATTTCTCAAACATAAAGCTGATGGTTCCCCAAAGATTTATTTGCTCACAAGTGTCTTACTTTGCTTCAGCCTTCTTGAGCAATGTAGCTGTTTCAGTGGGACTCATGACAGAGTTGTTGTGATTGGAGTTGGAATTTCGCTTCTTGTCATTGATCTTGGCACCTGGAACATACAAACATGTAGATGATGATAGTGTGAATATCCAATGACTGTCAAAAGTATAGATATCAACACACTTTAGCATTATATTGTCAGTTATTTTACATCTGTAATTATTGTAAAATTTCTATGTTAAACAAATAAATACCCATTAACACAGAGTACCCTATATGTATCACCTCCCACCCCCCTCTCCCACTCTGCTCACCATCTCTCTGCTCCTCCTTGAAGGCCTCCTCCGCCCACCTCTCAGTGTAGTGTTTCCCCAGGGCGGGGATCTTGTATCCCCTCCCACCCCATCCCCAGGCCCCCACTCTGCTCACCATCTCTCTGCTCCTCTTTGAGGTCCTCCTCCGCCCACTTCTCAGTGTAGTGTTTCCCCAGGGTGGTGATCTTGTATCCCTCCCACCCCATCCCCAGCCCCCACTGCTCACCATCTCTCTGCTCCTCCTTGAAGGCCTCCTCCAGCCCACCTCTCAGTGTAGTGTTTCCCCAGGGTGGTGATCTTGTATCCCTCCCACCCCATCCCCAGGCCCCCTCTGCTCACCATCTCTCTGCTCCTCTTTGAGGTCCTCCTCCGCCCACTTCTCAGTGTAGTGTTTCCCCAGGGTGGTGATCTTGTATCCCCTCCCACCCCATCCCCAGCCCCCACTGCTCACCATCTCTCTGCTCCTCCTTGAAGGCCTCCTCCGCCCACTACTCAGTGTAGTTTTTCCCCAGAGTGGGGATCTTGTATCCCCTCCCCAGGCCCCCACTCTGCTCACCATCTCTACCCATGAAGGTCTGGGTTAGAATATTGATCTTCAGTAACCCATGCTTATCGTAAGAGGCGACTAACAGGATCGGGTGGTCAGGCTCGCTGACTTGGTTGACACATGTCATCGGTTCCAATTGCGCAGATCGATGCTCATGCTGGAATATTGCTGAGTGCGACGTAAAACTAAACTCACTCACTCATTCGGCATCTCTCTGATCCTCCTTGAGGTCCTCCTCCGCCCACTTCTCAGTGTAGTGTTTCCCCAGGGTGGGGATCTTGTATCCCCTAGCACCCAATCCCCAGGCCCCCACTCAGCTCACCATCTCTCTGCTCCTCCTTGAGGTCCTCCTCTGCCCACTTCTCAGTGTAGTGTTTCCCCAGGGCAGGGATCTTGTAGTACTCAGACTCGTCCTCATGTGACTTTAGTATTTCCTCCAGTAATTTCAAATCCTCATTTGAGATCTCCCCACAATAAGGCTCAACTGACACCCAGAAGCGGTTCACAGCATCGTTCTTTGGCAATTTGGGCAAATCCACTGGAGAGTCCACAAAATCAAATTCCTGATTCTTGGACTGAAACAGCATCAAAGGTACATTGAATCACACTGACATTATATTCTTGCAATAATACAATGACAGCACATTTAATAGGAGTTCATGCTTAACCACATCTAAAAACACACAATCTTTTCATCAACAGATTTCTTGAATTTTGAAATTTGTTGTTTTGAGAAGTATAACTGCTATTGTCTGAAACAAACTACGCAATATTTCAAATAAACCAATGCCATAACCATAATGATCTCCATTAAAGATTTAAATAATGCTTATACTTTGATATAAGTGCAGTACACCACAATACACTGGTGTCTTTTAGCATAACTCTTTACACTGCTAGTCAGTACAACCATGTATCGAGGCATACAATATCACATGTATAACAAAATGAGAGTTAAAAAGCACAAACTTTATCACTCGAATTAAATGACAGCACTGAGTGGTGATATCGCATGCAAAATACATACAAAAAAATTATTACTATCAGTATGCCTAACTACAATCATAATGAAACACTTCTAACCAGTTTGCTGCCTCCCACCTGTGTGACTTTACTCTTAGGTCTGCTCGGTGGGGGTGGGGTAACACTAGAACTCTTCCCATTACTGTCTTTGAACTTCTTGCTGGGCTTGTCCTCGCCTCCTCCCTTCCCTCTCTTGCCGGATGTGGGGGGTCTCTGGTTGCTGGAGGGAGAGGATATACATCTACTTTGGAACCAGTCACCATTGTCAGTCATTGTTATCATTTTAAAGCATGTGCTATTATATATACAAATATGATTGCAACACTTGTAGAAAGACATCTTTATGTGCTTTTACTTGAAGAAAGGGATCTTTATATGTTATGGTTGGGAGTAATCAATTGAGATGAAATTCCCTTATAGCACACAACACCGGTTTTGAAACATCTACACTGCATTGAATGTAACTTGAATATGAACCCACATATGTTGCGATTTATTACACAAAGGCTACAGCCAAAGAGATCATACTGAACCAGTTCATGACTAGAGCGATAATCTAAGCCTCATTTGGGGATACAGCAAAGTTTGGTACGAGCTGTACTGAGAGAATAATGTGCCCACAAAACAAATCGCATCTTCCAAAGGTAACAAACATTTTGAAAATTGTAACAAGTGCCACATATTTGTCATTCTTATAAGCACCAGTCTCTTGAGAACAATATCAAAGTTGCTTGGTCCCAACACATTTACAATCTATAAACATTTGATTCAGGTTACAGCGATTTACTGTACAGGTCTGTGAATTTTATGGAGAAACATCATCTGAATTACAAAAACGGTACGACAGTGTTGGTGTTATAATGACATAAATCCCAAGATTTTGCCTGTGACAGAAACTTTCACCATTACCTGTTTGCCTGGCGTTGGCTTCTTGTCTTTCTTATCCTGCCAATTGACCAGGATCTGAATCTCACTCTCCAACAACTTCAGCCTCTTGCCTGCAGCTGCCAGCAGCGTTTCCAGGTCAGTCTGGATACTGCTTATCTCATCAATATTCACCCCATCCTCCTCACTCCTTTCTAGAACTGTAAAGGGATATAAACAGTGCTTTGTGAGGTGTTCCCATACCTCCTAAAAATTGAGGGGGATTAATAGAATATTTGATGAGTATGTGCTAATACTATTGCAGGTGAGAGTTCAGTTTGGAATGTTTTCTCATGAATGTGACACTGACACACATACTCTCATCTTCCAGAAGTTGTAAAGTCCTTTGAATGACTACAGTCAATGCTTTAATGGTCCTGGTTGATTGACCACCCCTTAACACTGTTTTAATCATGCAGTTTCTCACAATCAATACTGTACCATTAGTAAGCTTTGGACAGTCTTTAGTATGGTCAACAGGCTGAAGGTCTGGGAATTGAAGAGGACAGCAATCTCCCTTTGATTCCTGCATGCCTTTTCCTTTACCTTTCATTATATGCTATTGAAACACTGAAATGTGAACACATTATCAATCAGAGCATAGCCCCTCTTTTAATAGAACACCAATTACACTACCAGTATGCAAATTATTACAAATGCTACAGAATGCATTGTTATGGTAAGATCCCCCAGTACTACAGTTGATTGTGCACAACAAACAAACCGTTCCTTTGTTTTATAATTTATTTACATGAATCATTTACTAATAGCACTGCATATATGTATGCTCATATCATCCTTATATTATGGACTTGTTGTTTTCTCTCAGAACACATGAACAGCATTTCGTTAACTTATCCTTGATAAAATATGTATATCTTCAAAAACAAACCATCATCCAAGTATTTACAATATTTGTGTAACGCAATATACCTCAATACAGATCGGGCAACAACTGCTGTCCAAACACAAATAGTTTGATGATATATAGTTTATTGTCTTCACATGTATTTTCTCCTTATCATGGCTTATGTCGAGTTTAGTCACTGTCACTATAATATTGTGCTTGCAAGCCACAACATTAACAAACTTGTCGTGTTAATAACTAACTCTGTGAGTATCATATGCCTACTGTATAAGGGTTTAATGAAATCAAAGGTGTAATTCCGTGTTAAAAGCGATAGGCAGCTGTCCACTTCTTATCACTGTATTAGTGCTCATCATTTGGCTCAGCGACATCACTTACCGGAGTGTCACTGTTGACTTTACAGTTTCTCCATTGCGTATAGGATGTATGTACCATGCAAATATACTGATTTGTTTATGAATAGGAGTATATCTATAGCGTCGGTTTCTGCTTAAGGAGCAGCATCATTAGGTATAATAGCTGCAGACATTCTCATGTACAGTTGCATATCACGAACAAAGCTGCAGGTGGACTGGCGGCCATTTTGAGCACACAACAACCAATGACAGTAAAGCTTCTATAGTTATTCCACCAATCAGCGTTGTGGACGCAAAGAAAACACCAACAATGGGTTATTTTGTGAAGTTGGAGCAAAAAGTAGAAACTTTTGCATTTCAAACACGCCTGATCACCTTATTTTTTCAGGTAAGTAAATTTTTATCATCCGTATACGCTTGTCAAAAAGATTTGATCCATATTTGCTTGCGTTATGATGGAGAACAGGTGCTTGTTTTGACCGGCGACAGAGCCCAAATCCGAATCGGCCTTGCCATGCTTGCACAACGCAGGCCGTTATCATTTGAAAGAATGGTTAAACCACCACTTGTTGCACTTCCACACTTCTTAAATGTCAAAACAGTACTACAACAACTATAGTTACTATAACGCGGGTGTCTAATAACACGGGGGGTCATCCATGGACCCAAGACCCGCGTTATGGATGACTGTACTACGGTATATCAATTACAAACATGTATGTCATAGGCGCCCGGCTCTGATATATTTATAAGTATGACCTATATATATAAGATCTTATATCTTATATATATAGGTCATAATTATTATATATATATATAGGTCATACTTATAAATATATCAGAGCCGGGCGCCTATGATGTATGTGTCAATTAATCAGTAAGTGTATTAATCAAAGTGTATGATGATGATTTTATAATCCATGTTTGGGGTTCAATCACAAGAAAGATGACAAAAAAAATTTATGGACATACAACTTCTTTTATTCTGTAAAGAGCGACTGTGAAGTTAGTATCCATAAAAAATTGTCATCATTCTTCATCAACTCAACTTCTAATATGCCCATCAAAGAAGATACAATCACAAAATTGCAGCCTATACTTTGCAGGAATGTATTCTATCTTCCAGGTGATCTTCAATGCTGTTATTCCCGACCATGATGCTGACGTTTTCAACCCTCCAGCATCCCCAACCCACAACCAGACAGCAGTGGACAGCATCATGGACATCGGGGTGGGTGGATTGAGAAGATGGGATGCAGTGTACTTCATCCATGTTGCAGAACATGGTTACATCTATGAGAACGCTGTAGCTTTCTTCCCCCTGTACCCAGTCATTGTGGGGAAAATTGCCGATGTTTGTTACTGCTTCTCATTTGCAGGTCAAATCATGTCCAAATTAAACCTCTGCTTAATCATCGGAGTGGCACTGAATGTCTACCTCTTCACCAAGGCAGCCTCTACACTGTTCCACTTGGGAGTCCAGGTTCTCAAAGATGAGAAATTAGCATACAAGGCAGCCCTGTTGTTCTGCATCACCCCAGCCAGCATCTTCATGACAGCTCCCTACTCAGAATGTGTTTTTAGCTACCTCTTCTTCTCCGGGCTGCTGGCTTTTGCCAGTGGTGACACAATGAAGGCAGCATTTTGGTTTGGACTAAGTACATGTACAAGATCAAATGGCCTATTAGCAATTGGGTTCATCTTGTTCAGGAGAGTTAAGGGATTTATGTCCAGTATGCAACAAGTGACAAAAGCTAGATTTGAGACTGTGACTGAAAAGGGGATGATGATGGTGTCAATGACAAATCTATACCTGGCTCCAGTCATTGTTGCGATTGTGCTGTGTGCTGGCCCATTCTGTTTGTATCAATATTACATTTACAGAATATTCTGTTTGTCAAATGATGCAGATTTACCACAGCACCTAATTCGCTATGGTCGCTCCCAGAAGTACCATTTAGTTGGTGATGCTCCATCACCATGGTGTTCACAGTTACTTCCCTTGTCCTACAACTACATCCAGAAGCAGCACTGGGGTGTGGGTTTTCTCCAGTACTACGAGCTGAAGCAGGCCCCCAACTTCTTGCTGGCCACCCCCATGCTGGTGCTGAGTGTGTGTGCCTGCATATACTACTACAGACTCAACACATCCTGCTGCCACAGACTCGGCATGGTGCAGGAGGGGCAGACAGACAAGAAGACGGATCTACAGAAAGGAAACTTTGGCTTCAAGAACACCAGACTTTTCATCTATGTAGGGCACCTGCTATTCACCACTGTCTTTGGGATTTTCTTTGTGCACATTCAGGTAAGAATCTGTTAGTTAATGATTCTGGTATAGTATAGATAGACAGTTCTTTGCATCAAGAAATATTATCATCCTCATCGAAATACAGCATGAAACAGTGTCCATGGATTATTATCTATGTGAAACTATTGATATATGTTCGTTACCATGGTTACATCTACAAGTTGCTGTTAGCATGAAGCATAAACATATCACCACTTCAAGGAATGATATAGGATTTCAAAGTAGCAGCCAAAAACAGCAAATTGGGAAAATGTTTGTTTTTAACCCAACTGGGAATTTTTTATCAGCTTCATGTTCTGTTATTGGAATTTTCTGACATTACATAAATTGCAATAATACAGGGTGAGTAGTAACAGTTCTGACTGATGAGGACCTTTCACAACACCAGGAGAGAACCTTAAATCAGTGGGATGCATGCACTCCATCATTGCCGGCAGAAGTGTGTGGACCATGGAGGGGCTCATGTTGAAAAACAGTTAGAAACCATCTCTGTCATAGCAGCTAGGGCTCTAATGATGCATTGAACTATCGATGGATTGCAATTATTGAGTCTCTGATACCAATTAATCAATGGTAGAAACGAAAAACTATCGATGCATCGATAGTAGGTGTGATTTATTACTGTCACAACAATTCGTCATGTTCTCTCATGAACACTTCCGTTGATAAATGTGCAGCGCAAAAGTACCAGATTCGCTCACTTTGATTTAGAGTTATCTGCCCCTGCTTAATTGAGTTATGTTTTAAGTGTTTACTCGAATTTGGTTTCAAGTTTCTTGTCAGTTTTTTAAAGAGACTGAAACTACTTCAACTGTTTTTTTATTTCATGTAAACTATACATTCATTTGAGAAATGACTTCAAATGAGACGATTCAAGGAGAAGAAAAAAACCTATTGCAATAGTATTAGTTGGTATTATAGTTGGTCGCAATAGACTATCGCTATTGCAGTATTATGTTGCAATAGACTATCGCTATTGCAGTATTATGTTGCAATAGACTATCGCTATTGCAGTATTATGTTGCAATAGACTATCGCTATTGCAGTATTATGTTGCAATAGACTATCGCTATTGCAGTATTATGTTGCAATAGACTATCGCTATTGCAGTATTATGTTGCAATAGACTATCGCTATTGCAGTATTATGTTGCAATAAACTATCGCTATTGCAGTATTATGTTGCAATAGACTATCGCTATTGCAGTATTATGTTAATAGACTATCGCTATTGCAGTATTATGTTGCAATAGACTATCGCTATTGCAGTATTATGTTGCAATAGACTATCGCTATTGCAGTATTATGTTGCAATAGACTATCGCTATTGCAGTATTATGTTGCAATAGACTATCGCTATTGCAGTATTATGTTGCAATAAACTATCGGTATTGTATTATGTTGCAATAGACTATCGCTATTGCAGTATTATGTTGCAATAGACTATCGCTATTGCAGTATTATGTTGCAATAGACTATCGCTATTGCAGTATTATGTTGCAATAGACTATCGCTATTGCAGTATTATGTTGCAATAAACTATAAGCTATTGCAGTATTATGTTGCAATAGACTATCGCTATTGCAGTATTATGTTGCAATAGACTATCGCTATTGCAGTATTATGTTGCAATAGACTATCGCTATCACAGTATTATGTTGCAATAGACTATGGCTATCGCAGTATTATGTTGCAATAGACTATCGCTATTGCAGTATTATGTTGCAATAGACTATCGCTATTGCAGTATTATGTTGCAATAGACTATCGCTATTGCAGTATTATGTTGCAATAGACTATAAGCTATTGCAGTATTATGTTGCAATAGACTATCGCTATTGCAGTATATGTTGCAATAGACTATCGCTATTGCAGTATTATGTTGCAATAGACTATCGCTATTGCAGTATTATGTTGCAATAGACTATCGCTATTGCAGTATTATGTTGCAATAGACTATCGCTATTGCAGTATTATGTTGCAATAGACTATCGCTATTGCAGTATTATGTTGCAATAGACTATCGCTATTGCAGTATTATGTTGCAATAGACTATCGCTATTGCAGTATTATGTTGCAATAGACTATCGCTATTGCAGTATTATGTTGCAATAAACTATCGCTATTGCAGTATTATGTCGCAATAGACTATCGCTATTGCAGTATTATGTCGCAATAGACTATCGCTATTGCAGTATTATGTTGCAATAGACTATCGCTATTGCAGTATTATGTTGCAATAGACTATCGCTATTGCAGTATTATGTTGCAATAGACTATCGCTATTGCAGTATTATGTTGCAATAGACTATCGCTATTGCAGTATTATGTTGCAATAGACTATCGCTATTGCAGTATTATGTTGCAATAGACTATCGCTATTGCAGTATTATGTTGCAATAGACTATCATATTATTGCAGTATTATATTGCAGTATTATGTTGCAATAGACTATCGCTATTGCAGTATTATGTTGCAATAGACTATCGCTATTGCAGATATGTTGCAATAGACTATCGCTATTGCAGTATTATGTTGCAATAGACTATCGCTATTGCAGTATTATGTTGCAATAGACTATCGCTATTGCAGTATTATGTTGCAATAGACTATCGCTATTGCAGTATTATGTTGCAATAGACTATCGCTATTGCAGTATTATGTCGCAATAGACTATCGCTATTGCAGTATTATGTTGCAATAGACTATCGCTATTGCAGTATTATGTTGCAATAGACTATCGCTATTGCAGTATTATGTTGCAAAAAACTATCGATATTGCAGTATTATGTTACAATAGACTATCGCTATTGCAGTATTATGTTGCAATAGACTATCGCTATTGCAGTATTATGTCGCAATAGACTATTGCTATTGCAGTATTATGTCGCAATAGACTATCGCTATTGCAGTATTATGTTGCAATAGACTATCGCTATTGCAGTATTATGTTGCGATAGACTATCACTATTGCAGTATTATGTTGCAATAAACTATCGCTATTGCAATAGTTGTTTCCCCTCAGTAGTCACCCCTAATGGCAGTCAATCATAGACTCAGAACTTGTATCAAACTTGATGTGCAAATTTATGTATCATACATATTAAATCTATATTTATTTATTATAAAATATATCTGACTGTCCGCATGGCAGACTAAGGCTGAATATAAGCCTCAGTGTACCACTGAGAATGCCTAGATACATCCCTGACATTGCCCATCACTGCAAGGATATTAACAGTGGGGTCTAAGAATTTATTATTAACCTACTTTCATTTATTTGTTATTATTTTTCAGTCAATCTTTGGACATATATTTTGAGAATATTTCTATCCCAGGTAATGACCCGACTCCTTGCGTCCACCTCCCCTGTGATCTACTGGTTTGCTGCTCAGCTCATCACGGACAAGACCTACTATCAGAACTCCTCCAACAAGTACAACATTTTCTCACCACAAAGAGTCCAGCGCATTGAGACGGGGGCCAACCTGCAGCAGGCCCAGAAGGGGAACCTGCTCATTGACCAGATCTCAGACTTCTGGAAACAGAGCACCAACACCAAACTCGTGCTGGTCTACTTCATGTGTTACTTTGTAGTAGGGACAGCAGCTTTTGCCAACTTCCTCCCATGGACATAATTACACAGTTAATGTATTATAGAATAATACTATTACTTCACTGCCATGATAACCTGACATCACTAACAATAATCTCTACTGCTGCTACAGAGTGTTATATGTTGTCTTAGTTTGCTCTAGCTTTGGTTGTGATTTTGAGATATTGACCATATATTGGTCAAATGTACAAGTATGCTGCAGCCCCAGGTACTAGATATAACATCTCCATACAAAAACCTCCCTAAGGGACCATTCATAATTTATGGCTTGGGGTGTGTGTGAGTGTTTGTGTGATAATGGGTCACCCATTTTGTTCTGGGGAGGTCGGGGCAGCAATTATTGTGTACACGTGCAGTGTGTGCAATTTTGCACATAAAAATATTAAATGTATGCTTAAAAATAAGGGGGGGGGGGTGTCATTGTACATGATATGCATAACAATCATCCCCCCAACCCTTGCCATAAATTATCAACAGTCCCTAACGGAAATACTGGTAGTTTTCACAATTCTGATTCAGTATCATCATAGGTTATTTAAGGACCTGTTCCAAGTTGTAAGGATGAAATGGTCAGATGGGGACAGAAGCCAGATGAGTAATTTCTCCAGTTGTAATGTGAAAGTCAAAGAATCGATGTTAAGAATTTTGAAATGGTGCTTTTTAATATCAAGAGTATATTTTGTACTGTGAGGCACCACTTGCTGAAACTCTGCACATAAATTGGGTGTTCATTGCAGGTATGGATGTAATGCCTACATTTTACCAGTAATACCTGGTGATATTCAGTGTTCTGGCATTTTGACATTTGTTTATGACTTACATGACCATTATTCTAAAGGCAGCTAATATCATGATTGTTTCATTTATAGATGTTCATTGTGTCATGTTCCTCATGTGTCCATGTGTTAAGTATGTCTTGCTGATGTGATCAGGGAATCAGTTTGCTGTTTTGACAAGGCAACATCTTGGAATGTTTGGCCAAAGTTCAGAATTTTAAAAAATATTAATGTTTTTTCATGTCTTATGTTGGCAAGCAGGTAATAATACTTCAAGGTAGTCATTGTCCAAAGAATATGTAAGGGATAAGTGATACACATATCCTCTCACATTGAGGGTCAAGATATTAGAAAGACTATGTGTAATATTCATGCATAAATAATATTTTTAGGACTATGTTTTCAATGAACAGGGGTATTATATTTATTCAGCTGTGAACATGACATTTTCTCACTGGTGAATATACATGCATGACAAGCTGTGTAACAATGAATAAAAGCACTGTTCTGTAAGTGTGTGATCACGGTATTTGAGACAGAGTATCACCCACACACTACCTCACTATGTCTCACGCTGGCAATTGTGATTGTCAGACAAGTTGTACTGTGGAGAGATTTCCTGAAGAAATAAGATTTCAGACAAAATGTTGGCTGAAAGAAATTAAAATACTAGAATGTTTCATGTATTTTAATTTTGAGATTTATTTTTCTTAATTTTGTGTATTTTTCATGTTTGTGTATCTGCTACACTTTAGCTGTTAATGGTCACATTAGTAATCAGTTACTAGATGGGTAGTTGTGTAATACTGCTTATGTTTGTTATCAGGTCATGTAGCCATTTTATATCACTATCTTAAACATCAGTTAGGGCTGATATGCAGTCTTTTTAAAATGCTATGAATCATTAGCTGGTACCATCAATATTATTTATACAATACAAATAAATAGTTCCATGAATATATAGTTGATGGGTTTGTTCTCATTAAAGCAGAGATTTCATAAGTTGACGCTGTGTTGACAGAAGTCTTTACTGGCAAACAAGGATAAGTTGAGCACCGACCTGACAATTAGCATGTATGAGTGCAGCCCTCTGGCGCTTGCCATTGCGAGCAAAGGGGCCCTAGGTTGTCCACGATCAAGTGTAGTGGTACACTGACCACGTGAGAGTCGTATGAGCAAGGCGTGTGCAGCTACACGGGGAATCAATTTCATCGTCATGCACTGCATTTGCACTAGCCTACATCTGCTCTACCTTTCACAAACCCCGCCATATAGCTGGAATATTGCTGAGTGCGGCGGTAAAACTCACTCACTTTCACAAACCAAATGGGTTTGCTCATTCCCGTGCATCGCCTACTTCTCATAAACACGTTCTCTGCACCGGTCCAACTTATCCTTGTTTGCCAGTAGGTTATGTCAGTTGTGATTCGATATGGGGAATTGGACTCTTCTGTCTTCCACACAAGCGAACAGTTTAGCCCTTAGACTGCCTACACCAGCATTCATATCACAAGTTTGATACAGAAGGATTATACTAAGCTGGCTTTGGTAATAGACGTTTACTAGTTAGTGAAATCCCCAAGCATGGATATGGTCTTGACAAATCAAGGATCCTGCTCGTTTCAGCTAACAGACATCTCTCTGCTCAACACATTGCCCACTATTCAATTTTGCAGTTCAGATCTCACACCCCTTGCCTCTCAAAAGCTTCTAAACATGTTTGGAGACCTTCATGGTCTCAATTTTCTAGCTGATTGGACGTTGCCCATCTTGAGTTGAGGTGAAATGGGGTTGCACACCGTGCCCCCTATAGCCTTGTGCATGTATGTGGCTGTATGTACTTGTCCAGACTTATGGTTTCATAGTGCCAGCTGACTGTTATACTATTCAGAAGTTTAACCAGATTTTTCTTCTTAGACACAATTCAGGAAGCTCCAAATGAATGGCTGCATTTGTCAGTGTTATTGGGAGACTGTGGCAGAGGTACCAAACAACTTTAAAGGCCGGGGCGCAAACCTCTAAAACTCGGATAAGTGTACAACCCTAGCCCTGCACAGTATGGTGTCAGGGGAGTGGGTGAGGGGGACATTTTCCCAGCCTGCCTGAAATATGAAACCCTGAATGAAACATTTCCCCACTCCAAGGCTTGTTTCTATGGAAACGCACCTGACTGACACAGTGGGAAATTCAAATCTGGATTTAGAAATGAGAAATATATTTTCAAAATGTATGTTTTGTAGACTCTCTGCATCCATACTTTTTGTCTTAACAACATACTTCTTTATACTATGACATAATGTCAGCCTGAACCGATGAGTCAGTTTTGTGATATTTCATGGAATGTACTTGAATACTATACTACATTGCTTTGCATCAAAGGACAGCTTTGACAAGGCAAGGAGGCCACACCCCATCTGTGTATTGGTTTGAACCCCAACCTTTAATGGTTGCATATTGCTCTACAACAAGAAGGAGAGGTATCAAACATGTTTCTCATCTTAATGGATCTGTACAACAGAAAGAGGTCGAAGACTGCTAGTGTCGGCTTGACGTCCAGCAGTTTGTCCACCATGACACGCTCTTCCGCTGTACAGCGGAGTTTGAATCAGTGCCAGTGATTTGTCCTCAGACAACAGCAGATATCCAATTTCTCCCAGCTTGATTGGTGCCACAATTGCTTGGGCCAAAAAAGGAAAAATGTGGTTCCGATTACCCAACTGGCCTTATCTTTTTGAAGCGGTATGATTAAAATAAGCTTTCAGATACCATTGGTTTCCATTGTAAATATATCCCTCTCTCCGACTTGTTAAGTTATAATACACTTTTAAGTCACGCAAGATTATGGCCTGATTAAGAGGTTCATCATATTAGCAGTTTAATGATGAAACCCATGTCATGCTGACACTATCTTATTCTCATATATTTCTATAATCTTTTGCTTAGTTTCTACATTGAAATTTCGGTCTAATGAATTATCTTGTTGGCTAATAACTTTCAGGCATAGCTAGCCCGACTGGGTAGAAACATTTGTAAACTATTTCACACAGTGGAAACAATCCCAATACACAAGGTCTTTTGGGGCTCTAGAACTGGGATCTCACACCTCAATAGTACTATAATGTCCATATCACTGAAAGTGAGGCTCGAAATAATCTCCATACCAGAGTTGCAGACCATGAACAGAAGCCCAGCTTTCATGACAATTACATCTTTTTAACTGGATGGGTTAAACACTACCATTCATTTATAGTCAATTGTAGAGTCACCTGGGAAAACAGAATTCCAATATTCACATGCTTTTGGGTGAGGTGTTGGTCTGATGTTTTCAAAACCAAATTGCCCTCCCCATTCTTAATCTTCCCAGAAACCAGATTGAATTTCATCTGCTTTTTTGCCAATACCAGCCCTTCTGAAAACTATGACAAGTATTATTACACCATGAGCAGAAGCAAACAACAGTTCAAAATTGATAGTTGAGAACCAATAAATTGATCACAATATTAACATGTTTGAAACAACAACAAAAGTTGAACATTATAACAGATTTATTCTGGACATGGGGTCATGTGCAATGATTTAGTTTCTTCAGGAATAGCACAACCACACACTGTAACACCACAGTGATGAAAATCTGAACTATGTTACAATCCAATACAAGTTTTCCTGACATGAAGTGAAAATTCATTTTACAATTAACATGTTCTCAAAGACCATCCCCATGGCTACCACAGGCGCTGGCTGAATCCTGAGAACACATGACAGTCAAAGAACACAAAACACTTCACCAATGAGGCAATTTACTTGATAAGTTATCATGATGATAAATGGTTTGTACAGACTGGTGACACAAGGCAGCTAGATATCACTCGCACAGGTGTCTGGAAGATTATTTACAAAAGATTACCAAAAGTGGCATGTTGAGAAGTGGTTGATTGATTGAGTAGGGCATCACAAATCCTATTGGCTTATCACAGTCCCATGCAATAAAGAAGACAAAAAGACATGTTAGAGATGCCTCTGCACTTACATGGCTAAAAGGTCTACCCAGATGTGTTCTATAAACCTGGACTGCAAGGGGCCAATGTATGTCATGTTTGTATGCAATTGAATGGATGCATGGCACAGAATATGTAATATTTGGACACAAATATTGACTGGGTCATACTAAGAAAAAATACCCTTTGTTCATGGAAGACAATGTGCAAATGTATAGACCAGTTACTCTCTTACATACAAATCTGTGAAAGAAACAGGTTCCTATTAGAAAGTACAAAGTATAACACAAAACCTATGTAAAAGAACACATACCAAAACAAAAAACCTCAAAAATATTTTTTCTCTTTTCTCACATGTTGATTAAGAATCTGTAAGCTGTTGTGTACAAATCACCCAATATCCCAGCACTTTCTGCATGCTCTGTTCTGCACGTGACTAAAGCACTTAAACTGACAAATGACATTACTCTGCAATAATAGCAACCCAGATCCACATTGAGACTCCTATGTGATAAGCAAGCATGGTTGATCTCCTGGTGTAGTGCAGTGTCTCCAGGTACCCAGGCAGAGCAACCAGATCAATGTGCCGACTGCTGCAGGAATGCTGCTTGGCGGGGCTGGAGAGCTTGGTCATGATAATAGCGAGTCACTCAGTCAAGGACTGAACACAGAAACTCATGTCTATGAAGCTGCTGATCTGCCTCGAACTGAGCCTGATTTGGTTGTGAGTAGCCTTTCCACCATAGATCGAGCATAACGCAGACGCCCACTTAGTTCTTTTGAACATCCAAATTTCTCAATAAGATTTAGTCTGTATGTGGTGGTGTCTCTCTTTTCATCAATATATGTCACAGCTGCCATCAGTGGGCACAGAATTATCTTGGTGTGGTCCGAGAAAAAGTTGATCTACAAAAGAACAAAAAGAATATTAATTTTATGAAGCTATACCTAAAATCTGACAATACATGTGTGTTGTATTTGAACTATCTGAACAAAGTAACCCATTAAGGTGAATTCACTATTTAAATGAGTGAGTTTAGTTCTACGCTGCTTTTACAGGCCTACCAAAGAAAACTTTCCCACTGCAGAAAAACGCAGAAAAGCCTACATATTAATCGTGGAAATAACAACATAAACATATTACCTCGCTACTGAAACAGTAAAAACGGCAACGAAAAACTATGAAACAGCAAAAATTTTATATCAGCGAACTTTGACCTCTACTGTGCATGCGCATTACTATCCTCACTTCTTTAAAATATTTGAGCAACTGTGAATCGCCTCGCGTAGAAAACGTACTGAATATGTCGAAATAATTGCTGTCCTCATTTCATACGAATTGAAAGTAAACTAAAGAAGTGTGGACACAAGTATCATGATGACAAGAGCCAAATAACAAATACCAGAGCTCCAGATAAGATTTAGCTCATGTGGGTACTGTACCCACTGTCACTTTTTGGAGTGGGTATTTTGAATGTTGAGTGGGTATTTCATTTTCCGTTACCCACTGCTTTCAAATATGTGCGTATTTCAGTCATTTTACTCACCTATGTATATGTCATTGAGAAAGTTTACTAAGCAGGTATGTTCTGCCTTATGTCATACCTAATCAAAACCAACTTAAATACAATGGAAATGATTTCATATAAAAATCACTCATCCTATACTGACAGTACAATAGCAATCGATGTTTTTTTTATAAATATATTTTGTACGCATTTGTTTTAAACTTTTTGCGTATCTAACATTTTAAATGCGTAATTGGTACGCAACAATTATTTTTCAATGCGTAATTTGAGATTTTCTATGCATATTTTACCCGGATACGCAGCTTATCTGGACCTCTGAAATATTTAAAAAAGGGAATGTAGCTTTTGTCCAAGCTGGAAAATGTCAACGTGCGGTCGCGACTTCCTCTTCCCTGTGCGCATGCGCAAAATCGAAGTTGCAGGCTCTGCGTTTCTTTATCCAGTTTTAGCAATTTAAAGCTGCCGTTTTTACTGTTTCAGTAGCGAGATATGTTTGTTGCTATTTCTACGATTAATGTGAACTTTTCAGTTTTTTTCTGCATGTTGGGAAAGTTTTCTTTGGTAGGCCTGTTTTAGCAACATTCCAGCAATATCACAGCGGGCAACTCCTGAAATGGGCTTCACACATTGTACCCATGTGTTGAATCGAATCCGGCGTGACGAACGATTGCCTTAACCACTAGACTACCCAACCACCCCTAGTGCAATTTGATGACGACATTGGCTTTTGGGTTGTTTTTAAGTTGCATACACCTTGTTTCTTGCAATATTCTCATGCATGAATACAACATGGATTCATCAAGTGAAGAAGAGAAGCTAGTGTTAATGTATCTATAACTTCAACTTGTTGTATGCAATGAAAAATTGTTTCAATAAGGGTGTTCTGCTACAAGTTGTAATATGAGAACGCACCTTTACCTGGCAGCATGAGCTATGATGCATGACATCGAGGTATGAACACAAAGATCAATGTCATCAAGGTATGAACACACACAAGGATCAATGGCTTCAGGGCATGAACGTGTACAATCAGCCATTTCTTGTTTAGTAACCACCCAGCCCACATGCGACTTGTATAACAAGAAACAGGTACTAGTGATATAATACAAGAAAACCCACAGCCATACCTGTACAGTTCCATTGCTCAGCTGCAAAACCATGGCACTCCTCGTCCTGAACCATGTTCTTAAGAATGGAAGGCGAGCAATCTGGTCTGACTCTCGTGGGGTCATGTTGGCTCCAGCTTTGAGTAGATGTTCATTCATGTAGTTCCTGAAGTACTTGAGCAATGTCACCTTCTTGGTGAGATTCTCTGGGAATGCCCTCAGCGTGTGGTAGTGTTCTGTGCCATCTCTCTCAATGTACTGTGTATTCCTTCAAATGCAAATACAGAGACATGTTAATTAGCTTCTTTCAAAAGGTTCTTTCTAGTGAGAGTGAGTGAGTGAGTGTAGATTTAGGTCGCTTTTAGCAATATTCCAGCAACATCATGGCAGGGGACACCAGAAATGGGCAGGTTCTTTCTGAATCAATTACGTATCAAATCATTTTTTGTGTACAGAAACATCAATCTTTCAAGAAGTGTACTCATTTAATTTATAGTAGCTTGACAGAAAGCATGTAGTACTCACTCTCCATTAGCCAGTAGTATCAGTCGTGTTGAGTCATTGAAGAGAACTCCAACACTGTTATCACATAGCTGGTAGCCGAGGCCGTACTTGTCCGAGTAGTCCACCCACTTGCTGACCCAGTAGATAGGGACACATGCAGGATCAATGGCATCATCTAAAGGGAAATCAAACCATCATTTCAAACATACTCTTGTACAAATTTCAGTGATATTAAGATGATTAACTTTACACAGTACACATTTTACTTCACAAATGTTTCGATGAATAAGAAATATATCACAGAATCAGAAATGATCCAGTGACTTATGATGCACTACAACTGCAATACATCCTGAACTAGAAAAGTTGCATCAACATATTAACCGACATGATTTGTTTAAATCTAAACACAAGCTGATGTTGGCTTACCATCCTGTATACAGATCTTCTCGCCTGGCTTAGCTGCCACAACAGCAGACAATTGTCCACACAAGTCAGTCAACCAGTTGTCCTGAGACTCGCTACCTGTAACACAGTAAATACGTCAACACGAAGAAGAGACTAGTGGTGATTGGGAATCACTTGTATGGCAGTATTGTAGTAAATAAATAGGAATGGGTAGTACTTCATGTGACATCAAGACCAGCTGTGCGTACCTTTCATTTGTGCCCTCTCACTCTCTTTCTTCTCCATTTCTCTCTTGGTTGGGTCTGCAGTCTGAGGACGCATATCTGGAAACACAAATGGACCAAAATAACAAAGGGGTTTTGTCTGTTGAATGTCATGGTGAACATCCATAAACACTGTCTAATAGTGAACACACTGTATAATCCATGAACAGCATTCCAGTGGAGTGTTTGATGTCCACCTAAAGCAATGAACAAAACTTTTAATCCTGTCAATACCTACTCCGTTTTCAATATCCCTTTATCCACAATGTCCTTGGATCACTAGGGCTATACCCTATAGGTGCAGATGTCACATTCATCATAGTCAACATTGAACATAGCATTAGATGGCAAATTCACATCATATTGGCAAATAATTAAGGAAAACCATCTTACCATTAATCTCCAAGAGAGGTTTGCGATGAAGACCTTCTGACTTGTACAGCGTGTCAAACCGAGGAGCCATAGTGAGGCAGCTGGTGGGCAGATTGCTGGGGAGGTAGCCTGGAAAACAGCAGCATTCATAGCTTGTACAGCCTTTAGGATTTTTTGGTGATTTCTTTACCAAGAGCAACCACTTACTGAATTAGTTTTATTACATATTACAGTGAAGTTGCAGGAAGATCCCAACCTGATAATGCTGGAAGACATACCTGATGAGAAGAACTCTTCCTCCATAATCTGGTCAATGGAGGGTCTGTCTGTAGGGTCGGCCTTCAGCATCTTTGCGATCAGGTTCCTTGCTGGGAGACTCACACGGGATGGGATGTTGTACTCATTCTTCTTGATTTTCATGTATGTATCTCTTAGACATGAGGTCTCAAATGGGGGCTTGCCTACCAGCAATGTGTACCTAGGATCAAAATGTACAGACATTCAAATATAATTTCATAAAGTTGAGGGTGCATATTTTAGAGAAACACCAAACACAGATCTCTGACAAATTTTGTTGGTAGGATAAGATTGAATGAAAATGTATTTGACTCAACATAAACTGTCAAGTACAGGTTTTTCTATTGGGTATAACAACCCATAGAGTAATTCAACTTGCAACAGAAAAGTATTCTAAAGCTTTAGCCCTCTAAATTAAAAGCTTGAACTGAGGGTGTGCAAAAGGGAATTGTAAATGGTATTAAACTATGAACAACCAATGACAAAAAATTGCACATTTCTCAAAAATGATTATGTTGATGTACTCACAGAATACATCCTAGTGACCAGATGTCCACCTCAAAACTGTGGCCTTTCTTACACAGAACCTCAGGTGCAATGTAGTTAGGTGTGCCACACAGTGTTCTGAAATACATGTCGTATTAGTCAAGATCATTTAGACAGACTGTCATACATCCTATACTGTAACAGACTTACGACAGTCATAGCGCTACGATAGATGTTTGAAACAGGGCCCAGGTTACTAGGGGTGTTTAGCTCTGGTATTTTATGTAAAGTCTGCATGCATCAGTATGAGCATGGGCATTCATTCAAGTTATTGTTTGACTTTCTATGCACCTGTTGCTTCATTGTTCTGAACTGATGTCTTCATGTTAGCATGTTGAATTGTTCTACACTTGTTTGAAAACAAAAGTGTATAAAACATGTACAAAAACCAACATATTTTCAAGCTGGAATCAAGGGTAATTTGTCATTCATAGGCAAGTGTGAGAAACGCCTCAAGGCTAATGATTTCCATATTTACACAATCTGTAATAATTGTAATTTCTCGTAGCTAATAATTTGTTTTTTAAGTGATGTTTGTTGCCAGGGATTCACAATGTTCAATTTTTAGGTCCCTGACTCCTTTATTATTCAAAAGGTCCCACTGAGTTTTAAAGTTAGTAACAAAGCAGAAGATATCTAATAGACATAAACATCATTAATCCTCTAGTGTTAGCATTAGGCTTATAACAAGAACCCCTCAACTTTCATGCTTTATGTTGGGGACTGCTGAGGATCTATATTTCTTGACTGATGTGTATGTCACACTTTCACTTTATACTGACTGGCAAGTGTCTTCCAGTCATTCAACTGTTATTGATGAAGGCAATAGTGTTACATCATTAACAAGGATAAATGATCTTTACACCTAAATGAAGATTTAATCCATTACGACATGACCAACATGTTTACATACCAAACATCATGTCTCAATTTAACTCACCTTTTTCTCTCTCCATCATAGCCTACTTTGGTGGCCAGACCAAAGTCACCAATCTTGATCTCCATCTCGTCATTGATGAAGAGGTTGCCTAGCTTGAGATCCCTGTGTATAACCTTATTATGGTGGAGGTACTGACAAGCTGTGACCACCTGCTTCACAAAGTACCGAGCCTCAGGCTCTGTGATGGCTTTCCTCCTCTTGTGCAGTTCCATCAGTGACTGCAGAAACAAAACAATACGCTCAGCCCATAGATTCACGTTCTGCATGATAGTTGTATTTAGTAAAAAAACAATGCACATATATCTCCTTATCAATTCTTATTTAGAAACTTACCCTTCTTCGACACAGTTCCAGTACTATGTAGACATTATCAGAATCCTCAAAGAATGATCGAAACTGTACAACATGACGATGGTTAAGTTCTCTGTGGATTGCTATCTCCTGTGCCATCTGGAAAATAATGATGATCAACATGGTCAACAGCTGAATGTGAAGTCGGATAAAAGAAACTTTAACAGCTATTTATGAAACAACCCTATCTACATGACATAAGACGATGATGACTGAATGAGAAAGTCAGTGACCACATTAGTCGGGATTGTTGGCCTGTAATTTATTTTGGCATTTGTTTTCTTCAGCAGAGGGGTTTATCTGGGATTCCAAACTAAGCTCCCTTGACAGGCAAATATTGTTAGTTAATTCAATACTGTAAAAAAATTTAAAGTTTTAATTTTTCCAAGTACCATTGCATTCAATTTAATAATGTTAAACTGAGCTTTAAAGACTGACTCCAGCGAAATCAGCAAAATACAAGACCCGTCTACAAGCCCATGATGATATACGTCATGAACATAACATGAACTGGGAAATGTTTAATTCTAAATGTCAGAATATCCTGCAGATTTATTGCCAAATGTCACCATCTAAACAGGTATAGTCAAATCACTATAATAGTTTGTGAATTTAGTATGTTAACTTGTTTTCAGGTTTACCTTAGTATGCTAATGTGCTTTTAAGTTAGCATTGTTTGAAACGTGTATGAAAATCAACAAACCTTGTCTTTTTGATGTTGTTTCACCAGGAGAGATTTGGACACAATCTTCCCAGCGAACACCTCCTTCGAGTCCAAGTCTGTTAATTCGTAACATTTTGCAAAGCCTCCCTAAAACACAAAACTTCATGAATCTTCTTTCAACTAAATTCACGCTATATTATATAACAAAAATAGAAACTAATATAGGATGTTTACATAAACTGTCATACCATGAACATTGTACCCAAATGCACTTGACTAATGTACATTGTATGTAACGGTTCATATTATCTAGAAAGTCTATATAAGAGGCTTGATAGGCATTTTAGAAGATGCAATTTGATAAACAAAGAATTTTCTGGATTTCATCTTTTTATTCTTTTATACATTTCGGGTTTGGAACAGGCCCTGTTGTATCAAAGAATAAAAAGATGAAATCCAGAAAAGTTTTTATGTTCACAAGACTATATATTAGTGTAAGGTGACAGTATTCAAGTCTTGATTCAAAATATGTGATTTGAACAAAGAGCATGTGTTTGATGAGATCAGGGACAATGTTTATGAATGTTGTTTTGCTACTGGAACAAAATATCGGAGCTTTACTTAAGGCAACAAGAAAACATAGTACATGATGTTCAAGTCTTTGCTACACAAACCAACACTTGATCACGTAAGTAACAATCTATATTTTTGGGAGTGTGTGAGGTGATGTGTGATGATAGATCATAGATGATCTACAAAATCCAAATTTGGATAGAACAGCAGTTTACATTGTAAAACAATTTATATGTTGCTCACATTAATAGGATACAGTAGGTATTTTAATATGCCCATGGATCATAAAATATTCACCGATTATATTTGAATCATAAGGCAATGTTCAGTGATCCACAACATTTCATATTTACATTGTTTCCATAATTGCAAGAAGTGACATTAATATTTACAATAACTGAGTAAGTTTCCAAAGATTGCAAGAGCTAGAAAATATATTGTTTTTAAAAGCCTTTGAAACATAAAATGGTGTCTGTGGTAAAGGCTAACGATTGTTGAATTTAAATCACTTGCTATGTCATTGGACTACATAACGATATATTTCGTCGAAGATGGTAACACACATTCAAAGTGATCGTACTTGCAACGCTTATTATTGAACACATTATCAGTCGACTGAGCAATAACATTAGCACAGAAACGTGTCTGAACAGGTTCATACCTTGCCTAGAAACCTTCCCTTCATGTACCGCTTTCCACTTGGGTCTACTAAAATTTCTGGTACTACGTCTTTAGAGCGTCCATCGTCTTTTCTTGCTGCACTACTCATTCTGGACTTAGGGCAACAACCTTTTCGCTCTTCAATTAATTTCTACCTCTCAACAATTCGAAATACTCAATCTATCCCTTGCCACTCTCTGGTTGTCGTCATTTCAAATTTGCCTGTTCTCAGTTGTTGTGAGTGCGTCAAAGCTGATTGGTTGATTCTTAAGAAAATGGTTTTGATTGGCTGTGATACCCGCCATTGGAAAAGACATGAGCATGCATGTATTCAACTTTGACCTCAACTTTGACCTTTGTAATTGTTACACGTGATTTGATTGGACAACAACCAAGAAGTACACCAATCCTTTCAATCGTTACTCTGAAGGTACGGAAAACTACTTCCGTTCAAAATGGCGATGTTGGCTGAACCTCGACGTAAACAAAAAATATCGATAAATCCTCAAGGGACAAATTGGAGTAATGGTGTGTAATTTTGATCAAATACTCTGTTTGAGGAGTTTTGCTTTTTTCATGAATGATGCGACAACCAGTAAACACTGGTCGAGAAAACTACCACAGGCATATGACCACGTGGTCAAACATGGGCAATGGTTTAATATTGCTGAAGGTGGGGGGTCGTTGTCGGCACAGGTACTACAGATACGTACCCCAGGTACGTTTCTGTATACAGATATGAACCCTAAACAAAGTCAAAATACAGAAACGTACCCGGTACCCTAAAAGGCGGACGAGTCCATATTCCGCAATCCAAAACCGACACCGCATGTAGTTGTTCCCGTTCAACTGATTGCGAGTGGTATTCACTATCGCGAAATATCCGTTACTGTGTATTCTCATTACTTACATAAAGCAATCAAATGTATCTAATACAACAGCATGACAGTTCCGATCAAGAATACGACACAATGGGAATGGAATCGTCCTAGGTTACGTTTCTGTATTCTCATTATGGCCAGGGTACATATCTGTATATATGCCGACAACGACCCATTCAGCCTTAATGTTAAGCAAAGTACAAAGTGTTTTTGTTTGTTTATTGATACGTATATAAAAGGCAAGAGTTAGGTTTGCCAGGCTCATCTTACTGTTGCAATCCTTTCAGTAGCTTAGAGCAAGCAAAAATTTCTAAATATTTTTTTCAATGTATATTGCTTCCCCTGCATATTAATAATGAAAAACCAATGAATTTGTCATTTAATCTCACCTAGGTTTGTTGTAATTAAGAGACAAAGTAGTTGATTTTATGTATGCAAATGAGGCCAATTTTCTTATTTCTCAAAAAGTGACCCCAGCTCCTGTAAGGTTACTGTTGAGATTTTCCATCAAAACCCTTCACCATAAATATGTTCCAAACTTCAGGAACATTAGGGCAAACTATTTGAACGTTGGAAAGCACCTTCTGAATTTATATTTCATACTTTTCTGAAGAATAATGCAAATAGACGGAACCAGTGAAATGAGGAAAAGAGCTTTACCATTTTTTAAAATTTATAAATCAAGTAACATTACAAACTGGAAACAAACAAAACACATTAAATATCGAAAACATGATCTATTTAATAGTTTAAATCTAAATTCAGTTTCAGATTAATTTTCCTACACATGTTTGAATAATTTAGTCTGTTCTTTTTATCCCCCGCAACGCGTTTGACAGAACTCTAAAACCGTTCAATATTTCTTCCCCAAACTTGGCACATACATGGATCTGGTGGTGTACTGGTGCCTTTTGGTAGTTTTGGAATTCTGAATTAAATATTTTGGCATTTCCATGGCAAAAGGTCGACTTTGACTGAAATTGGTGGTAGTGCTCTTTTCGGAGCAGAACTCTAAAACCGTTCACTATTTCATCACCAAACTTGGCACATAGATAGATCTGGTGGTGTACTGGTGCCTTTTGGTAGTTTTGGAATTCTGAATAAAATATTTTTGGCGTTTCCATGGCAACGAGTTCGACTTTGACTGAAATTCTTTCAGGAGAAGAACTCTAAAACCGTTTAATATTTCTTCACCAAACTTGGCACATAGATAGATCTGGTGGTGTACTGGTGCCTTTTGGTTGTTTTGGAATTCTGAATAAAATATTTTAGCGTTTCCATGGCAACAAGTTTCACTTAGCCTGAAATTGTGGTAGTGCTTTGAACTTTCAAAACCTTTCAATACTCTCCTTCCACTTTTCTATATATACACACCTTTCTATATATGTCACCATTTGACATAATCATAACTCGTGAGACATAATCATGAAGAGTATTTTGCCATTGGGGATAAATTTATCACTTGGATATGGTTTCTCATCTATGGCATGAAAGCATCAAGGGAAAAATATTTTAACTTTAAAAATGTTCAGAATTCAATATACATTGTATTAATATACATTGGGTTACCATCAGATATATATCAAGACAATAGTCCCAATGTGGCCATAAGCATGTCAAACTTGTCCTCTGTAATTACACAGATAATATAAAATAAATTAAAATAAATAGTCCAATAGTTGTTATAAATATTTAAACAGTGTCATCTTGGATAGTATCATAAACAAAAGAAATAGTCCGATAACAGTGTCATCTTGAAGAAGTAATAGTTCTAAAGAGTTTAGGCTTAGTGTCAGTTTTCTGTGAGCAGATGAAATGTCAATCAAGTTACCTCCCTTTGCTTCTTCTATGCTCCAGTTATTTGTTGCTATTAACTTTATATGTACATCTCAAAACAAAAGATTGTAGCTTATATTTTGCTGTTACAACCTAAATATGGTCAAAGAATGATGAAAACAGTGACAAACACTAATTTTGTTTGTTTTCATTTAACCGAAGTTGTGCTCGTAAAGCTAGGGTGTGAAACTACGAGTACTTCCAGTAAAGAGTTCGGGCGGTGGGGTAGTCTAGTGGTTAAAGCGTTGGCTCGTCACGCCGAAGACCCGGGTTCGAGTCCCCACATGGGTACAATGAGTGAAGCCCATTTCTGGTGTCCCCCGCCGTGATATTGCTGGAATATTGCTAAAAGCGATGAATAAATCACACAATGTATCAGTGAAGAATTGATTTTTAATGTATTCTAGGATCAATAGACTTTCAAAATATCTGAGGGAAACATGTGATCACGGACGTTTAAAGAAAGAAATTCACTTTCCAGGTTTTAAAATTTCCTAATCAGATAGTGCCTTGCTGTGAAAAAACTGCATCTGTCAGCATCTGTTCAATGTGCAGTTTGTGTGTAACTTATAAACAGTAAAATGTCGCCTGCACATGAGAGTGAAATGTAACTAAAGCAATATTACAAACTATTTCCTCTTATCTGAATAAATAGGCTGTTTGGGTCATATTTCGATTTGAGTTGACAGTGTAAAACATAATCTATTGTTCATATTACCTGTACAATACAAGATGAAAACGATAGTTATTTCAAGTTAAAGGGACACTACATAGATGGTTCGGTTTGCTTTATATCATTCATGAATTATTTTGGAGTGCGACATCACACTTTCAGTTAATGCCAGATTAAATTCTCCAACTAAATACATGTACAACTCTGCAAAATGAAGCCGACACTGCAGAGGCAGAGTGAAGTAAAAACCTATTTCTTGCAGACAAGTTCTAAAATACTTATTGTATGCTTTATTATGTTAGTGGCAAGTGTTTAGCAAACCCAAGTTTACAATGTAAGTATGCCTTGGTGATATGAAGCCAAAAATCCTGGACAGAGTTTGATATGGCCAGTCTATAATCCCTGTCACATCGTCACATCTTATGCAGTCCATTCATATGTTTTATATCTACTAGTATTTCATTTCGGACAAGTCCACACATTTAGATTAATTATATGTTGTGATATGTTTATCTTTCATTGAGAAAATATCCAAAGATATTTTGTTTTGTTTGTGTATTTTCCCTCACATGCAGTCATCAAAGCCCACACCACACACACACACACACACACACACACACACACACACACACACACTCACACAACTGAAATAATTATGGAGACTTAAAATACCATTCACTTAACGCTTGACCTTACCTTGCCTAACACAAAGTGTCCTTGTGTCTTCTCTGATGATTCCTCCGGCTGTGTCCATTGACTGGAAGCAGCATGGATCAAAGTTGACAGATTGAAACTTTTCCTACCACTGTCCATTACTTTCATGCTTTCTACTGACCATTCAGCTCCAAAAGATAATTTGGTGCTCTTGAATGTTTTGAGTTTCCTTTCAGCATATGGCTGAAGTTGTATAAAAGGTGTGACAGCTCTTGTTTGCTGTGTTGTTGGGTTTAGCAGCTGTTCAATCCAGGGTGTGAAGGGAACAAGGCCTTCGATAACTTTGAAAGTGGCTTCATCCAGATGATATAAAGTTTGAGCTTCTAGTATTGCTTGAATGTCAGTCATCAACACACCAGCTTTCTTCTGCAGCAGTTGAGGACATGGCATGACTTTTGAATGTTTTGTATGTGAATATTTGATCTGAATACAGTTGGTGAATCTACCCCCAGTAAGTGATAATGAAGTACATGGATCACATATACCAGGCATTATGGCAGCAAGGGATTGATATGGGTGAGTTGATGGTTGAGTGTATGGAGACGCTGCTCCTGGGGGTGTGAGGACCTGTTGGCCTGGGGCCCAGTTTGGACAGGGAGGCCCAGCTTTGAGCATGGCCTGTGTGCTGTGGGACAGTTGCATAATGGTAGTCGAGTCTGGTAGGTGTTGAGGCAGAACCAAGACTTTTCCTTCGTGTTTGGCAATGGTGTGCTGGAAGTGACCATCAAGGCAAACAGTATGCTGGCTTTGCTTGGAACATGCTGTGGAGCAACAACATTTGATCCCAGTATTACATCTCAGTAGAACCTGTGGACTATTGGTACTTTCTGTTGGAGATGCACTTTGTTGGACCTCGGTTTCGAAGGAGCTTGTAGTTTTGTGAGAGATCTGGATGCATGGTCTGGTTTCATTTATTGGTACTATTTGTGGAGCTTGGTCAGTGTTGCTGCTGGTGTATTGCTTGGCCCTACATGGCATTTGAGTGTCATCACTAGAACCATTCAAGGTTCCTTGAAAGTGAACATCATCATCCTTAGCCCAGAGGGAATGTGAAGTGGATGTCTGAATCTCAGAACTGGGCAAAGGCTGAACACAGGTTGTAAAGTGTTCTCCAGTTGACGAGCAGTGTGTATCAACTTCAGGGAGTGGTGAGATGTCAGTGATGTTATTGATGGGATATTCTAGAGGGTCACTGTAGGTCTCGACAACATCATCAGTAGATGGCCTTGTGTATGATGGAGACTTTCCATGTCTCTCCAGTGGCTGCGTGTATGTCATAACACTCTGACATGGTTTTCCCGAGTAGCTGCAAAGAATGTCCTCTGTGATGAGGGTCTGGCTGCAGGCTTGGTCCTCCTTAGACACAGGGAGTGTGAAGGTGATAGGAGTTTCTTCAGCACTGGCTAAGGGCTGGGAGAAGGTGATGAGGGGTGTGATGGACTGCCACCAGGAGGACACTGCACTGCCCACAGCTTTCATGGACACACTGCTCAGTGACTGCCATAAGGACCCAACCTGTCAACACAAATAGTACAGTTAGCGTACGTCTGATGTTGAAGAAACCATAGGGTATCTGCTAGATTAATGTCATACTAGGACAAACATAAAGTATGATCTTTATGCATGAAGCAGCATATTTAATATTTATTTTCTTTTGCAGATGACAGCAAATTTGGCCAGAAAATGTTGGAGAGAATGGGTTGGTCTAAGGGCAAAGGCCTGGGAGCTAAAGAAAATGGCCAAGTTGAACATGTGAAAATAAGCTTTAAAAATGACCAGAAGGGTATGTGAAAGTAATGGCGATAAGTGACTGAAAGATATGAGAAAGTAATTATAATCATGAAGAATTGTTTTCATAAAATGGGTGTGAATCCTTTTTTGGTGTTCCCCATTCCAGTCAACAAGATATGCTGGAACATTTCTGAAAACAGCGTAAAACTGAATGTCGACATTGCATTAGCAGTTATTAGTCAGATTTTTAATTAAAATATAGTAGACATTTTTAATACACCTTTGATTCACGCATGTATTTCCGGTGATATAGTCAAAAGCTACCATACATTTGTGTGTACATACCCTGTTTGTTTTAAATTTCCTGAAACAACATACTCATTATAACTTGTCTGACTTGGTATTGATTCAGTGATTGGTGAATTTCTGCAAATAACTGGACTGCATCTGTCAGGTTGTCTCTGTGTGCGTGTTGTAGGAGTTGGGGCTAACGTGTTGGAATACATCCTAAAATGTCACAGTGTTTGTGTTGCAGGAGTTGGGTCTAACAAGAACCAAGCAGACAACTGGATAGCTCACCAGGATGACTTCAACAGCTTGCTAGAGACACTGAATGAGGGTCATGGAGGAGGGGAGGTGGATTCCCCTGTCGCTCACCAGGTGGCCAGTCTCGAGAAGAAGTCCCAGTCATCGCGAAGCAGAGTACAGTATGTAATCTGAGTAACTGCGGCAGTCTTCATAGATGTATGTATTCAGGTGTTTCTTTAGGGGAATACTGAGATGCTGCCTAGCAGTGTTGTACTTCAGACTCACTCCCAACTTATGTGAAGGAATGTCTCATGGATTGAATTAATTTCATCAAAGTTCATACAACCATAAAATTCCCAACAACAAAAATGGTGTTTTTCTAAGCTTATTTCTCTCCCTTTTTTTTTCTTGTATGAACATTCCCTCTCTCCTCCTCTTCCGACCCCTGAAGATCCGGTTTAGAATTGGTCTTCAGCAACCCTTGTCGTAAGAGGCGACTAACGGGGTCGGGTGGTCAGACTCAGACTTGGTTAACATATGTCATATCCCAATTGTGTAGATTGATACTCATGCTGTTGATCACTGGACTGTCTGGTCCAGATTTGATTATTTACAGACCGCCACCATATAGCTAGAATATTTCTGAGTGTGGCGTTAAACAACAAAGCAACCAACCTTCTCTTCCCTTGAATATTTTCTTTATTTTAAAAGGGTAACAAAGTAAGTGGTGTTACTCATGATTGTGATGTTAGGTGTGGGGTTGCAGTGGGCTATTCATTTACAAAGGTCATAAATTTACTTTGCAGTTACAGCAAGTTCACGAAGGGCAAAGATCTGTCATCAAGATCACATGAAGATCTCAAATGTATATTTGGTAAACGTGCAGCCAAACCTACCTCTGGAAAGAACTCTCCAGCACTTGAATCAAGTGTGAGTTACTACCAGTGAAAGGGACACATTTCACATTTTACATGTAGTATGCAAACACACTCTGTAAGCCATTTTACAGGCTAGTGTTTTGAGTATTACTGAAAAATCCAACATTTCCTCTGGAATCTTTGTGAATGTATTAATGTGAAGTGACACCTTTTAGAGCTTGGGATGTTTCACATTTTCATTTACATTATTGAACTTAGATTTGATAAGATTTACTATATTTCCATAGAAACAAATCAGAAGAAATTGTAAGAGGATAATGTGTAAGATTTTTCTGAAGAATATTTTGTACGAAGCAGTAATGTCTCATTAACATTGAGATGAATGCATAAAATATTTCATAAAGTCACAAGTTAAGCATGGACTTCTCAGTGACTTTAATTTGTGAAGTCATTTACTCTCAGTTTTATTTGGGAATGCATTTATAAATGAACATGACAAAGACTCTTACAGTAAGCGTATATTATTTATTTTTTGTAGGAATCCTCAGGGTCTGAAGAATCGAAGGCTGACATGTCACATGGGTTCAATACCATAAACAGCACCTCTACAATGCAAGAATATTTTGCCAAAAAGATGGCTGCCATGAAGGGTCAGACGTCATCACCATCAAGGGAAGATAAATGTGGACTAGAATCAGATACTATAGAACAGCCAGCAGAGTCAGCAGCTGACTCTCACTGTCGGAAGAAAAATAAGAAGTCCAAACGAAAAACTAAGGACTTAGATATAGAAGAAACTGAGAATAATAATTCAGATATGCATATAGAACATAGTAATTTAGGCAGTTGTGATGTTGAGCCTAAGAAAAAGAAAAGCAAAAAGTGTAGAAGGAAGCACTCCGAGACAGCCGACTCACCTGGTGATGTGGATGATGTAGTGGACAAGACAGTAGGTGAGGAGGAGGAGCAAACGGAGAAGAAGAAGGACAAGAAGAGGAAGAGGGAGGAAAAAGAGACTGAGAAGGAAATACAGGAAAAGGCTACAGAGAAAACCAAGAAGAAGAAGAAGAAAAAAAAGAAGTCAGCAGCTAGGCAAGTTGAAGGTGAAATTTGTAACTAGTGGTATTGCATTGGCAACAGTGAATCAAACATGTCGCTTGTGTTTAGTCCCCTGCCATCCAGTGTTCAGTGTCCGCCATCTAGTGTTCAGTCCCCCCATCATCTAGTGTTCAGTCCCCCCATCATCTAGTGTTCAGTCCCCCATCATCTAGTGTTCAGTCCCCCATCATCTAGTGTTCAGTCCCCCATCATCTAGTGTTCAGTCCCCCATCATCTAGTGTTTAGCCCTATCATCTAGTGTTCAGTCCCCCCATCATCTAGTGTTCAGTCCCCATCATCTAGTGTTCAGTCCCCCATCATCTAGTGTTCAGTCCCCCATCATCTAGTGTTCAGTCCCCATCATCTAGTGTTCAGTCCCCCATCATCTAGTGTTTAGTCCCCCATCATCTAGTGTTCAGTCCCCATCTAGTGTTCAGTCCCCAATCATCTAGTGTTTAGTCCCCCATCATCTAGTGTTCAGTCCCCCATCATCTAGTGTTCAGTCCCCCCATCATCTAGTGTTTAGTCCCCCATCATCTAGTGTTCAGTCCCCCATCTAGTGTTCAGTCCCCCATCATCTAGTGTTCAGTCCCCCATCATCTAGTGTTCAGTCCCCCATCATCTAGTGTTTAGTCCCCATCATCTAGTGTTCAGTCCCCATCATCTAGTGTTCAGTCCCCATCATCTAGTGTTCTGTCCCCCATCATCTAGTGTTCAGTCCCCCCATCATCTAGTGTTCAGTCCCCCTCATCTAGTGTTCAGTCCCCCCCATCATCTAGTGTTCAGTCCCCATCATCTAGTGTTTAGTCCCCCATCATCTAGTGTTCAGTCCCCCATCATCTAGTGTTCAGTCCCATCCCTCTTTCCCCCCTCTTCTCCTCTTTCTCCCTCCCTCTCTCTCTCTTTCCCCCAAAAAAATCTAGTGTTCAGTACCCCCATCATCTAGGCATCAGTCAAAGCCCATTCCCCCATTGTTAGTTGCACAAGTGACTTAACAGGTTCAGGTGGTCAAACTGTTGCTTGACAGATTGTGTGACGTAATGTCATGCAGGACATTGCTGATTCTTTCAGTGACTGACTTTATCTAGAGGTAATTGTGATATAGCAGAAGTAAAACTGCAGTGTAAAAAAAAAAAGCAAACATCATAAAGAGCAGGGGAAAATCAGCTTTGTCACATTGAGACTATCACCCTGCAGTCTCTAATTTTAACACACCGACAAGCTTTCATAATGCCTATAATCACATGTTATTTGGCCAATATTGTTCATTCCAAAATGGAACTGAGTGAAATGTTATTTGTCTGCAGTGTAGAGAGCAGTGAGCTTGGAGAAAACGGGGGGAAGAATGGAAGCAAGGCATCAAAACCAAGAAGAGCTGGGCTGCGGCCACAGAAGCTTCCTCCCCTCATCCAGAGTACTTGTGACTCCTTCAAAGGTGCCAATGTGGCCTCTATTGATGGATATAATAAATCATCACTCCCAGCTTCAGAGTTGATGAAGAGAATTGAAAGTAAACATAACATGGTATTGTGGCAGTTGAAGGCAAAGAAACAAGATAAACAACTTCGAATGCAGCATGGCCTTGACCAATGTTAGCGCTGCAAAACAGGGGCATTAAAGACACGTTCCATAATGCCATGACAGGAGACGGGGTTGTTGGTGGTATTACTGATGGACCATTAGTGTTTGGCAGAACATACTGAAGTGCTGTCAAGGAAACTGTGCAATAAGGGTGTGATGAACTATTGAGGCCACAATCTGAAAACGACAGCATCTCCACGAGAAGACAAAATTGTTTCTCTCTGATACTGTATTTGTAAATATTGTAACAGACAATGTATTGAAAATGAATACCATTTTTGTTAGTGTGTGATTATTATAATGACTTAAAGATTAGATATATTGCAGAAAAGTTTTGCAGGTATCCATCTTTACACTAATTTAATATGTTAATGTCATCAGCAAATATTGAAGTTATTAGAAATAATGCTATGTATATTTACTATGCAGATGTAAAACGTTCCGCACCTTCCTCATTGTACATCTCATCTGTGGTTATTTGCTGTACATCAACCAAGGGAAAGCCTGTAACCATTGTTGTAATTATGGGCCTATGGCCGACATTACAGCAAGAAATAAAGACTGGATACTGTAGGTAAAATAGAAATAACTATTAAAACAAAATATGTGTCAGAAAGACTTCACTGTTGATGGATTGTTGATTAAAATGAATTTACATGAAAGTCCTGTATCTCTGTTGTCCATGGAATACATCCTGAACATGAAGTGGTGGCACCAGCATGCAAGTGAAATCTCATGATTGTGCTCCTGAAATTTAAACACTCTCTTCAATCATTTTGTGGATATTCATCCCTGAACTAATACTTTCAATTGTTTATGAAGGGTGCATCTCTGATTAATTTAGCTATCAGTGGCATCTGTATTAGACTCTACACTCTTGGTGTATTGTGCCTGGTTAAGCCAATGCCTACCACTACATGATGATTAAGGACTGAGGAGGCCTATGGTTAAGAGTGGTGTGGTCCTGATTACCTGACTTAAGTAGTGAGCCATAGCCTTTTTTATCCCCCGGCATGTAATCCGGGGGCATATAGTCGACGCCTCGTCCGTCCGTGATCATTTTGTTTCCGGAGCATAATTCAAGAACCGTTCAATAGTTTTCAACAGAACTTGGTAGATATATCAAACAGAACCTTAAGTCAAGCCTCTTGCTATTTGCAGATTTTTGGCATATTTATTTTCCCAGGTTTCCATGGAAACGATTCGGACTTAGTCTCAAAGGGGAATGGTGGGGAGATTTGACTCTTGTTTGTCTTTGTGAACAAAGAACGCACATGTCTACCAGCCACAGTATCTTGTTGTAGGGACCATCTTGACCTAGTGGAAGGTTGGTGGTTCGAGTCCCTGGTCATATCATATTATAAAACAAAGAGGACACTTGGTGAGCCGTGTGCCAAGTGTCATCCATTATAAACTACAGCATGATGTCAGAAAACAAGTCTGCATCATCATCAGTTTGCTGGTACTGTAAAACCGGGGCACTGAACATGCATATTGGGCACCTGATGTGAAGTCAAGGTAGTCCAGGATACTCTTTTCTGATGGGAAGAAATGGGGCATTCAGAAATGGTGGGGGATGAGGACTTGTGTTTTGGAATGCAATACAAACACCATTCTAGTTACAATCTACAGCTTGATATTCGCGATGTAGAGTCACAATGTCACTGTATGGGAGTTATGTTCACCTGCTCTGGGTCATATTTTGTCATTTAGTGACTTTCTCCATATTTCTGTGTTTGGTTATGTTATAAATTGGTTGGTTTTTTTTAGAAGATATTTTGGAAATACACTTCAGTTCACATGGTAGTATCTCAAGCCAAGCTTTCTCTTTCTTTCAGAAGTGAAAGATGACAGGAAGGCATTATTTTGACTGAAACCTCCTGTGTTTAGAGAAGTGTCACAGGTTCTAACCATGATTAACAAAAGTAACATCAAAGAATTAGATGGTTCTCAACCTTGAGTGGCATACTGTATATTACCGTAGATAAGTCGATCTCAGAGATAGGCTAACCCCGTAACTTTACCCTTAAAATCAGTATCAAAATGGTATGTTTCGTACTTAAGGCGATCCCTGTGATGGGGTCCTAATCATGACAGACCACAAGACAACTGGCAGTTACAGATAATTATAACTTCGATCCACATTTTTCACAGAAATCATATTACATCTACTCACGCCTCGAAATGATGTAGTTGACAGAAAATGGATACGTATATATAATTTGTTTCACTAAATGTCATATTTATTGTAGCTGGGCGATCACATGTCAACAAAATGGAATGCTTATTTCCCCTCTTTCCATGCATTTACTAATGTGAAGCCTTCAGTGACAGATGAATGAAGCCAGGTGAATGTTTGACTTGGTTTATTATGTGGCTACCATGTGCTTCCTAGAAGGCTATGTACATCAACACAGTCAACAAACAACAATACTGTCAGGAGGCATGGAATGTTTTCTCCACAGAACATGAAAGACTAGATAATGCCAACAAAACCACAGATGTTGGCTTCTCCACACCAACAAACACCAAGGTTTTCATACCCTCGGCCGCAGCCAAATTCATAACCCTAGAAGCACTCATTTTCCATCATTATTCAACATGAAACCAAAAGGACGCCATCAGTTTCTTGCATGTCAAGAGAACCAGTTGTATATCGGCCTGTATGGTAGAACTGTGGTATATACTACATGCCTGTGATGTCCCACTTGCTTGTCAAGTAGTTTCCAGGTGTGCTTGCTCCAATACTCTCAGTGATAGTTCTAAAACTACTGCAGGGGTGGAAATAACCCATTGCCCGATGCCCCAGTCCAGTGGGTTTTTTCTGTCGGGCTAGCAAATTTGTATGTCACACTGTACCGGTGTCCAGTTGACTTTCCAATGTTAATTATGTTGTTTATTTAAAAAATCAACAAGAAAATCAGCCGGTATAGTGGAAGAATTATCAGGGCAAGTGATTTTACATGTGCCACTGTACCTGAGTACACTAGCAATTTTAAAGTTATTTCCACCCCTGAACTGGTAAAATGTCAACAGGCCAGTGTAACTATTACACACCAATCAAGATGGCTGCTACACTAAACGGACAACATGTTGCTCTAAATCAACATCGACAGATGCTAAATTGTGGCATCAATTACATGTGTTGTGTGTTTGGGAATAACACACATGTTTGAATAGGTCTGTGTGAAAACTTACATAAGCATATTAGAGTGGGAATACTTCGGTCAGAAAATCAAGAAAGTAAGCGAATTACATTCATAAAAACTGTTTGGAGGGAGAGTATGCCAGTGTTATTGATCCCCACTGATTATGCTTGCAGTCGACACCTCCAGTAAAGCTTCAGATGGACAATGAAGAGTAGGGGGTGACTATATATAGAGATCCAGTCTTGATTGGGGGCTCCACAAATCTCTAAAAAGATCCAGACTTGATAATGGGGCACAGGAGAACTCCATATGGACATCCATTCCATGATATTTTAGGTGGAGATCCAAACATGAAAAGCACCAAAGTTGATTGGGTTAGCCCCAGTTGGTCACAACACAAGGAACATTGTCATTATGAGAGTGAGTTGGAAAGGTCTGATTTGAGGGAGTGAATTGGGCTTTAACACGACTGAATACTTCATCACAGGTTCATTTCCAATGACTGAGTTATTATAAGCAAAATTAAAGCAGGTCATATATGTTCACCACATTCAATATTGTAGGATTCTGGCATACAAAAGGGAAACAACTCTACATTAAAAAGGAACATGGTGGGAATTAAAGCTTTTTCTTTGCATCAACACTTTAATTGCTTAATTAATTCACATACCAGTACTTGTTTGAAATGAAGACTAGCTAGCCGTGTAATGGGCAAGTGGTCCATTACTCTGTGGAATGTGAGATGGACATGGCTGTTCCTAATGCATCCAAACACAATACAACCTTCAGTATTGTGTGGATGGGGTTCTAATTACACACAGATGAGATTCACATGGACCAAATAACTCCAGAAAACAAACAAGAATATCACAGATTGTCAACTGTGAGAAGCTGCACACAGAATAGCACTGAACACTGTAGAACATAGTTAAATAAGCAGGCCCGTACCAGCCATGTAAATGTGTGTTCTGGTAAACTTTATCAGGAATTAATTTAGCTGTCGTCCGTAACCATGTTCGTTTACTGTGCCATATGTGTGTCCTGGTGACAAAGCTGATAGTACTGGCAAGAGAGGAGACCGTGCATTAGCAATGAGTAGGAGCTATTAAATACTAAGCATCACAGCACACTCAGCACAGATAATGTGATTGTATGATTTCATCTACCTGTGGACGTATCATAAGACCTTCTTTGGACAACAGAACTGACATTAGTTGAGATAGAAGCAAAACTTTAAGAAATTATTTGAAAGTAACCATGTGTGTTATGTGAATGAGAATTGGACTATAGTCTGTTTCCTGTGGACTACAGAAAATGTAACATTTAGGCTAACATGAATTAAATGTCCTATCTCAAGGTTTCAAGGGGTGTATTTCAAATATACACATAAGCATTAATTTAGCACCACCTGATTCAAAATGCAATTCAGAAAATTCAAAATAGGATTCCAAAACCTTTGAGATTAACCCAGCTGCTAAGTGAGAGCTAGAGGGAATTGACCTTGACAACAGGAACAGTAGATGTTGGAATGCTCAGAGAGCGCATATTATAAAAAAAAACAGTGCTTGGTGCTGAATTACTACCCTTGTATATTTGAACATCAGCAATTCTTTGACCCTGGTTGCTTTTCTCAGGTCTAGAGTGAGTGAGTTAGGTTTTACGCCGCTTTTAGCAATATTCCAGCAATATCAAGGTGGAGGACACCAGAAATGGGCTTCACACATTGTACCCATGTGGGGAAGTGAACCTGGGTCTTCAGGCATGACAAGTGAACGCTTTAACCACTAGGCTACCCCACTGCCCCTTCAGGTCTAGATGAAGAGGATGCAATGTCAGATACATCGGATCATCTTGGTCACAGACTTGTTCATAATTCTCTTGTTCAAATAGTTGGGGCCCATATTAGCCATACCTGATCTAGTCTCAAATTCAAGAGTTAAAAGAAGAATAACAGTTTGCTGTCAGCCACATTCATACTAATATTTGAAGCTATCCAGGGGACCAATAAGAGTCCTTACCCTACTTTGTCCTTTGTATAACTGTTATGTCATGTTGATTTCCTCACAAGATAACTCAGACTTGCATATATGTAAAAAACAAGTACATACATTAAAATGCCACATTAACAATATAAACCAATAATGGCTGTATAAAAAGACTGTACATAAAAATATCTACAAAGTTTCTATAATAAATCTGGCACTATCAACTTGTAACAGCTTCTATTACACATGTGGTATTATGCTGGGGGAAGGGGAATTATCACACAGGCAAGACCAGCGATGCATCTACTCAAACATCCATTTGCACTAAACAGAAAATCATCACCATCCATTTAATGTGTTAAATAAATACCACATGCTATTTACAATGAATGGTTTTAGAACATTCTAAATTCTTACACTGTTGACTTTAGATTCACAAATACAGGTCTTATTGATGAAATAAATACCCTATCTTCTTATACTATACATGAGTGATCTGTGACTAGCATCTGGCATGCCAAAATCTACTTTAAGTGGGTCCTTCATGTCCAGTGTGTAGTCTGCTTGTTCACCCACCCAGCTGTCACCTACTGTCTGGGTGGGACTGGGGGTACTGTAGCTGGACGACTGGGTACAGGGGGAGGACCAGTCATAGGGGTGGGGCAACATCTGGGGGCCAGGGCGGACAGGGATAGGGGGAGGGGGAAGATTGGGTGGAGGTATAGAAGGGGGCATATTTGAGCTTTCGGACATATCTAAATCCTGGGGGGCAACATCTGGTGGAAATGAATCCAGTCTGGGTGGAGGTGGGGGTGGTTCCATAGGGCAGCTGGGTGGAGCTGGTGGGGATTCCTGGGGACAGTCTCCCTGGGGTGTTGGGGAGGAGGACTGGAAGGGTTTACTTCTCTCTGGGCCTCCAACAGGGTAAGACGGACATGTGTCGAGGGCTGGAGGAGTTGGTGGTGGACTGACGTCTGGACACGGAGGATCAGCCGTTGAGGGTCTTGTTGATGCATCTGGAGGTCGGACAGGGATAGGAGGTGGGTCATGAGTGAGAAACTTGGGTATTGCACTTGTATCAAAGGGGTCAGGCTCACTGCTGGTGTCACCTAACAAAGGAGCATCTAATATGTTATGACTTTGCACTGGTGGACCACTGCTATGACTAGATGTTTCTTCTGACTGAGATCCAAATGTTGGTGGTGGACCATTAGGTACAGGAGGCAGTGGCCTCCCTACTGCACTCAGTGGTCGCTGCGGTGGTTTCACTATGAAGGGATCATCTGGGTCTGAGGCTGGAGAAATGACGGCACTCTGAACATCTTTTCTGGGAGTTGGCCTGGGTCGGGCAACAGGGGCTGTAGTGACCTCACCGCCGGATTTGTCCGACAACAAGTTCTCCATACTGCGGAACCTTGGCATTGGCTTGGGAGGTGCCTGGCTGCTGGAACTACTGGAGGAGGTGTCGGTACCTGCCATGTCCTGGGCAGTCCGACTTCTAGGGATTGGGGTAGGTGCAGCCAAAGCTGAAGCGGAGGAAGACATGTCTGAAAAAGAACAAAAGTAATAGCAGCTAGAAAACCTGGTGAAACTGTACAATCAGTGTTATTCTATTTCTTGTGGATAAATACTTCCCTCACAAATGGCTTCTGTTCTCAGCAAATAATGATTCATTGCTGTTTACTAATAACTAAACGATTTGATGTTGAAAAATGTAATTTTTATGATAAAATTGATATTTTATACTTATCCTGACTCATGCTATATGCTTCAGATCATGAGTCAGGATAAGGAAAAATTTAGATTTTGAATAACCTAATCAAGTTGTTTTGAGCCATGTACTTGGTGTGACAGAGAAACATTAGTATTATACATACCTCCAACAGGTGCAGGAGTGGTGCTTGGCATCATGGGCGCTGGTAAATTAGCATTCGCGTTTCCTTGGTTACCTCCCATCAGGTTACTTATCAATTTCTGTGCCTCTTCCATACTGCTGGCATGTGTGTGATGTGTTACGTTGGTGGGAAGACCAATAGAGGAGATCTACAAAAGGAGGGAGGCCATGCGAGGTTAATAGAACACACACTGGGTTATTGATCAACAGATCAAGATCAGAATTCAAATACTTTATTGCCATGCCCCAAAGTTGAGTTTCTGAAACTGTAAACACTAGTGGGGGGCTACTAAAGGTAGAAATCACACAGCTGCACTCAGGAACTGTTTTATGGTTTGGTTAACGTCAACATCTGACTCTCTCCATGAAACTGTTTGAAATGGTTTGTTAAGATGGTGACAACATGGATGAACAGAAACATAAATCACACAGCATTCTTTGTTTCTAGCCACACAAATTGAGAAGTGCAATTCAAAATGTAGTCAGATCTAAGAAACAACAGACAGAGAAGACCAGCTTACCGCACGGGGACCTCCCTTCTTGGCCTTCAGCTTGGCTGAGGGTGGGGGGCGGAGGGGCTGGCGGATCTTGGGGGCCTCTTTCCCCACATGTCTCCCTGGGGAACCTGCCAGGAACAGACATCAATACTCCTGTCACACTAGATTTCAAAGTGACTTTAAATAGACGAATGAAGATGCGGTTAGAATTTGTCTTCAGCAACCCATGCTTGTCATCAGAGATGATCATACGTGTTGTCAGTGGTGACTAACAGGATGAGATGGTAAGACTCGCTGACTTGGTGGATGTATGTCATTGTATTGAAGTTTACATGCCACTTAAAATATTTTTAAAAAAAGATTCCAGCATGCTTTCATTCATTACAACTATGTCAACACCTAGTGGAGAGCCATGTGCATGACTCGACAGCTGAAGTGTATAACTAAAGGTGAAGGAACTAAAGGTATTTCAGAAAGCATATGTCATCGAAGGTTTAAGGTCACACTGGACCAATAATCTTGTCATGTTACAAACAACATAAATAAGAAAAACTGTATTAGTAATTTTCAAGTTCAAGTGAGTTACCAAAAACTGTATGACAGCCATCCAAAGGAGGATGTGTCACAGATGTCTGATGACACTAGACTAGAGTTTTCACATTGTGTCATCTCACCTGGAGGTGCTTGATTAGCAGGTGCCCCTTTAGGTGGCCCTCCAAGGGGGCGCTGTGGAGGTGGAGGCTTCGCAGGTGGGGCTCCGGGCCTCTGTGGAGGCTGTTTGCGAGGCATCTGTAACCAATACAAAACACATACTGAGTAAAGCATGTGTACAACAGTGGAGAAACATCAAATCAAGTGGGCCCCAGTATAACAGTCATCATCATCATGGTTTGCATGTGCATCAGTTTGTATGCAGTTAATTCTGCAAAAGTCTCTAAGTAAACTTGTAAATTTCAAATGATATGAATGAAATAGGGTCTTTACAGCTTACCATTATAGAAATCATCAACATCATCAACAAAAACAAACTGTAAATTTGAATCCCAACAACTCAAGAATAAACCAATGTTTTAAGTGAAGGACAGAACATGCCTCCATGGGCTTGGTTTTGTAAGTAAAGGGTTAAGTGAGGTTCTACAGAACAGCACTGAAAGCTCCTTTGAAAATGACTTGGCATATCAAAAGCAGAGTTGTTACTGGTCCATCCTCAGTTATAGAAAATATAGACACATAGTAAGATGACAACCTGGAAGTTGACAATCATATGTCCATTTGAACCCAATAATTTGCTTACAAGCAGATGAAGACACTTTAGAAGGTGAACATTTGAAACATGTTCACAGTTAAACTACCTCTGGCGATGGTGAACTCCGAAGTCTTGCCCCAGGCTCTGGAACAATGAGAGCTTCTGCCCCACCTGGCGCCGCCCCACCTGGAGCTGCCCCACCAGCACCGGGACCAGCTGCGGGGCGGGGTGGGGGCTTGTCAGGGCGAGAGGGAGCTGTTGGGGGTCGACTCGGCGGACCTGCAGGAGGTCCACTAGGGGGTCCTCCAGGGATGTCAGTTGGTATTTCCTCCTGTACAGCGGGGCTGTTGCGGCCTGTGACAAACAATGGATGTCTGAGTGGGTGGATATTTCAGTGAGTGGCTGGGTGGGTGGATATTTCAGTGAGTGGTTTGAGTGAGTGGCTGGGTGGGTGGATATTTCAGTGAGTGGCTGGGTGGGTGGATATTTCGGTGAGTGGCTGGGTGGGTGAATATTTCAGTGAGTGGTTTGAGTGGCTGGGTGGGTGGATATTTCAGTAAGTGGCTGGGTGGGTGGATATTTCAGTGAGTGGTTTGAGTGAGTGGCTGGGTGGGTGGATATTTCAGTGAGTGGTTTAAGTGAGTGATGTTTGAATCGCTGTCAATTCGTAACCAATACAGTTCACTGACTGCAATACATGCAAGACACAATGACAGAAGTTATGATTATCAATAGCAATGGGGACATGACAACACCATGTGATAATTTTGTACAAAACAAGTGATGGAGGAAGTCAATGTATTCAGAATGTAGAAAGCTGACGATGTAAGTACAGTGAAATCAGTAAGTTTCCCAGCATTACATAATTATGGGAGAAGGACTGGTCCCAGGGTCCATGAGAAATTATCTTGCCTCACACATAATGCAATTTTTGGATTAAAATTGATATTTTATACTTATCCTGACTCATGCTTAATTGCTTGTCTTCTTTTTCTTGCAAATGATAGTGGAACACTTGAATCCCCTTTTGAAGCTCCCTTCAAAAAATCGGACATAAAATCACTCACCCAGTGTTACCTCCCTTAGGTATTTTGGCGGCAAAATCTGTCACATGACCAAACACACTCTTCACTCTCTCCAAATATGAGCCCGACACCCGGATTACAGGGAATCCAGAATGCCATGAGGGGAGGTTGGGAGGTCTGACCTCATGAGTCAGGATAAGTATAAAATATCAATTTCAATAAAAAAAAGTACATTTTATGCAACTCCATGTCTTGATGCTCGCATCAAGTGGAGAAGCGACCCTTCTTCATGTACGAGTAAGTCCTTTACAAGTACAGGGTCCGTCACTCATGCTGGCCTGTCCTAGACGGGCGCATGGACTCTAAAGCTCTAGCTCTTCAGAGCGTTGGCTTTTACAAGTCACGTGATAAAAGGGTGATATTCATCTCAGCGCCTTTGAGGAACCGTCAATTGTTGTGCTACAACAAGAGGCCCAAACTGGTGAATGCCGGAGACGTCCTCGGTAGCAATGTCTCTGAGGTAGTGGTTGGCAAACACCGTCTCCGACTTCCAAAAGCAGCCCTCCATTATTGTCGAGATGGAGCAGTTTCCAAACAGAGCGAGTGTCAATGCCAGCGCTCTGACTGCATGAGGGTTGGAGGCTCGTTGAGGCTCAAGTCCTGCTGCTTTGTAGGCTCTTAGGATGACAGCTCTCATCCATATCGATATTGTCGTACGTGAGACCTCTGTAGCTGTCTCCGTTGATAGAGGGATGAAAAGGCGCTTGAATTTTCGTCTCCTCGTCTTAGACCTTTTGTAGGTAGACTTTCAATGCTCTGACTGGGCATAAGGATAGGTCCAGAGTATCCTGTGGCCCAAAGACTGTCGAGAGTGCTGGGATGTGGAACTGTCTGTCTGGTTGACCGGCCAGTTGTTCTTTGCTATGAAGTCCCATCTCAATCCCAGATGTACGATGTTACGATGTGCATCAAATCGTATTCGTTCAAAGTCCAGAGCATGTATTTCCGACATCCGAGTTGCTGTTGCCAAGGCGATCAAGAACAGAGTTTTGTGTGTTGAAAAGTCATAGGATGTCCTTTCTAGTGGTTCGTAAGTGTCACTGGTGAGATGCTGCAAGACTACGTTGAGATCCCAAGCAGGCGCTTTAAATTTCTTTTGTTGGTCTTCCAACTTAAAGGAGCGTAGTAGAGCCAGTATCTCTGGTACTTTGGTCAGCTTAACACCCGTCTTCATGGTGATAACCGCGCTGAGGGCCGCTAGGTATGTAGAGAAATTTTAACCTTTTAACCGCCTCGTTTGTCTTAGATGACAAAGGTATTCCGCCACTTGAGGATGTGTTGCTCTTCATCGCCATGAAGCCCTTCTTCAATGCATATTTCTCAAAACTCTGCCACTTGTCATCGTACAAGTTGCGGGTTGATCTACATAGAGCTAGTGTGACTGCTTTCGCTGCTCTGGCGGAATATCCTCTTTTCTTCAAGCAAGTCTTGATACGCTCCATGCGTGTAGCTGGAATACTGTTGGATTTCCGTGTACTTGCTTGGTGTGCGGATGAATTAGTAGGTTCGGCCACTCTGGGAGTTGCAGGGTTGGACTTCCGAGTTCTTGTATGAGGATGGGAAACCACACCCTCGCTGGCCAGTAGGGCACAACCAAAATCAGTTGCAGCTTCTTCGTCTTCTTGATTTTCTGCAACACCTGCGGTATTAGAGCTGGAGATGCAAACGCGTAAGCGTTCAGTCCTTCCCAGGAGATGCTTAGAGCATCTGTTGTCCATGCTTGTGGATCCGTGACCAGAGAGACGAATGTTGGTAGTTGTTTGTTGAACTTTGTAGCAAACAGGTCTATCAGCGGAGATCCTATCCTCTGTATCATGCATCTGAAGGCTTCTGGATGTAACATCGGTTCCGTCAGGGATGGTTGTGTTGGAAGAGATAGGGCGTCTGCTATCACATTCTTGGCTCCGGGAATGTGGCATGCTTTAATGTTGATGTTCAGGTTGTCTATTATGCTGAACAGATGAAAGCTGAGGTCTAGAAGATTCCTTGACCTTGTTGATCCTTGTTTGTTGATGTAGAACGCCACTGTGGAGTTGTCCATATGGATCATCAGTTGTGCGTTCCTTAGTATGCTGGACCAGTGTAATAAGGCGTTTATTACTGCTTTCATCTCGAGCATGTTGATGTGCAGACTCTGCTCCTGACTCGACCATTTCCCTGCTGCCACTTCGTTGTCGAGGTGGACTCCCCATCCTTGAAGTGATGCATCTACGTAGAGGTGAGTGTTGCACTCCGGCTCTGATAAGTAGGTTCCTCCGCAAACATTCGACTTCCGAGTCCACCATAGAAGATATGGTTTCAGTGTCTAGATGAGCGTTCACAAACACTTGTAGTGGGTGCAGTTGTACTCTTCCTCTGCGTGTCATGTCTTGTGCTGATGTGAGAAGACCAAGTAGGCTCTGGCCAACTTCATAGTGGTAACGGAGAGAGTAGTGCTTGAGATATCATGTGTTGTATCTTGACCCAACGCTCCTCTGGGACGACTATGCGATTCGCCGATGTGATGAGCCGTATTCCTAGGAATTGAAGATCCTGTGTGGGTTCTAGTTCCGACTTAAGGAGAGTTACTAGCCATCCTAGTTGAGTGAGCAGCCTGATGGGGAAGTCTAATTGCAGTCTGAGTTGACTGGGATCTTTATGAGCTTGAATCCCGTCGTCCAGGTAAACGCACTGCGTAGACCTTGATGATGTAGATATGTGATGATGGGCTTTGTCACTCGAGTTAACAAACAGGGGGCCGATGATATTCCAAATGGTAGCACCTTCAATTGGAAATGACGTCCGTTGAAGAGGAATCGTAGGTATCTCCTAGAGTCCTGTAGATCTATGCTGGCGAGGTAGTCTAACGGACAAACGAGTTGTCGCAATTGAGGAAGGTGTATCATCCTGAATTTTGTGGGTCTGCCTAGATAATCTTGGTTGAATTTCCTCATGTTGTAGATGAGTCGGAACTTTTCCCTGGAATTTTTCTTTGGTACCAGGAAGATTGGGGAGTAAAAACCGGGCGTGACGAGCTCCTGTTTTATCTCTTCGACTGCCTCCTTCTCGAGTAGAGTTGTGATGGCATCAAGTAGGTTCTCCCTCTGGTCGGCAGCATAGTTGTGGGCCAGAGAGTTGCTTGTCAACAGTGGTACTGCTTGTAGTTGTATCTTGTATCCTCTGCATAGGATCTGGGATACGTCAGTCGTCCTGAAGAATTCCCCAATTCATCCCAGTAGTGTTGCAGACGTCCACCCACTTTTGATGAAGTTTGTATGGGAACGGCTGGAGGTGGAAGACTCCAGTCGTTCCAAACCCATCCTTCAGCGTCTAAAGTTCCTGGCACCTCTGGGTGCTCTCCTCTGGAGTTGCCGTATTTCTTTTCCCTGGCTCTCTGTATCCCCGTAAACTTCGACTTACCGGAGTAGCGTTGCCATGTCTGACGGATAACACTGGCCAGTGTATCGATGGACTTGATCATCATTACCTCCCTTGACTCTTTCGTAACTTCTTTGGCCATGTCCTCAATTTCCCCTGCGAAGATAGATGATGCTGACCACGGAGCTCTGTACAGTGTCTTGGTGAAGCGCTCACTCCAACTGCAGGAAGACAGCAATCAGGCCCACTGATGTGGATGACAGATGTTTGGACATAAACTGATGATCTTTCTTTGGGACAGCAATGCAGAGTAAATCATTCTATCTTCTTCAGAGGTCGAGTTCCTGAACTTCGTGATGAGGGTTTCATTGATGGCTCTTGACCTGGCTAGACCAAAGAAGGTAGGTCTGGTAGTTTTGTCTAGTTGTGCCAGCTTCTTATCCTCTATTTTATAAGTCCTTGGTCGGGAGTCGTTGATGATTTTGTAGTTCTCATCTATCTCTGGGGCCTTCATGATATGGTTCCATGTGGTGAAGTGAGGCGCTGAATGGCGGGAAGCTTTGGCTCTGGAACTTTGTTGCCTTCCTGAAGGCTGTGCTGAGGTTCTCCGGTACATCCGAGACAGGATCGATGGGTGGAAGGGTAAGTGTTTCAAAGTCGTCGTTCGACATCATATATGTGAATGCTTCATTATCCTCTTTAGAAGGTGATGCAAGTTCCAATCCATTAGCCATCCAAGATTTGATCGCTGTATCGGAGAATATGATTCCGTCATCATCTTCAGATCTAGAGGCCTCTGTTTCTGAAGATCGTCGCCGTTGTGCCTCCTTCCTGCGTGGAGATCTGCATGGAGACCTGCGTGGAAACCTGTGTGGAGACCTGGGTGAAGATGTGCCTGAAGACCTTCCTGAA